AAACGTCGATTTTATACTATTTTATTGATTTTCGATAAGTTATTACTATATAGGGTAGATAATATTTAGGTACAGCTCTGAAAAAAAAATACGAAACATACAAGTACTCGTGCACTTAAACACCCTAGAATATATGCTAAAGATAGGTTCTAACAATTTTTTCCTAGTGATTTAATTAAAAAATATTCTTTATTTAAAAATCATCTAAAGTAAGAAGAACAATTATCTACCCAATTGAATTATAACCATACTACAAGAAAAAACATTTTTGTCTCAATGAAATTATTTTGACTTTTAATTTGTTTTTATTAAATAAAGTAGACATTAGTACAGGACATTGATGAATTTGATTGAGTTTAGAATCTGAGTGTAGGGAAATGTATTGGTTTTACTGAGATGTTTATTTTTTTTTTTTACATTTTTTTATACTGTGAACAAAATTCTATCAGAAATCTTACTCAGATTTAGATAAATACCTGTGGCACCACTTCTGAAAGGGAATTTTGTCCAGATGGTACTTTTTGGAGGATGTTTTTTGATTTTCCATGCGGTTTTCATAAAACCTGAGAAAAACCAGGATAAAACATAAGAAAAACGGGAAATTCACGAAATTAATGTTTTTATTATTTTTCAATTTTGTTATTTGTTGTAATTTAGTTAAAAATATTCGTAAAACTTGAAATTTGGACGGGACACTTATATTTGCCTTTAATAGACCTGATAAAATTTTCAAAAATATTTAAGCTATTTTTGGGCTACTTATAGACGTTTTATTTTGCAAGTTTTATACGCCATTTTTATTCGGTAGGTACTGTGTTGTAAAATTGTTAGACTTAACAGAAATGCGTGAAAATGTAANTTATATTTGCCTATTATAGACCTGGTAAAATTTTCAAAAATATTTAAGCTATTTTTGGGCTACTTATAGACGTTTTAATTTTGCGAGTTTTATACGCCATTTTTATTCGGTAGGTACTGTGTTGTAAAATTGTTAGACTTAACAGAAATGCGTGAAAATGTAACAGGAGGTTTATTAAAAGTCTTGCTTTGTGTTTAAAAAAAACTGAGTTCAATGTAGTATTTTTTTTATAAAGGAATTTTAGTATCAAATTTCGACGAAAATCATTTGCGTAAAAAATTATGTGGAACAATAATCTAATTTTTCAATTCTTTGTTTTGAACATATGTATATTCCCGACTCCCATCAATGATGGGAAAGTCAGAATTACGTGGATTGACGAAGTTTCGAAATTATAGCTTTTTGAAGTTCTGAAATTATGTGGATATTACATATTATGTTAAATAGCTCTCCCGCAAAATCATGATAGGTAGCTTAAAGTTTTATTATATCATTATTTATATCAGTAAACACATTTGTTCAACGGTTTGCTCTCAATAATTTTGCGAAAACTCGCTTATAGAGTTCTCCATAAGTACCTAAGACAAAGGGAGGGGAAAGATACTAATATCAAGCGCGATCTAGTGAGCTAATTTTAGTGTAACCGTTTGCTATTCATCGTAAATATTCTTTTCGACAAACTGCTGGTCACGGATTCGGTGAACACATACGAAAACGAAAACTCGTCATCGAATTTTTCAACACGATGTTCTCAGTATACAGTAAACATTTTTGATTTATCGTTTTGGCGAATAATAACCTGCAACTGTCAAGTATATAGGAAACAATAGCAAACAGATGCAGGAAACGCCTACTTATTATAGAGTCCTGTAGTACATATACACATAAACCTACACCAAACAATTGATACCGATTGAGTCCACGCATGTCATAAATAAAATACAATTATGTTTCACATGCATGCACTATATGAGGGTTTTAAAAGGATTCGCATATGCCGTCAATGACTTCATATATCCAATCGAAGTGTATTTTTAATAGTAATATAGCGTGTCCATATTCTATGTATATAATAAGAAGTATAGAACGTCGTTATACTTGTAATTTTTAGTATAATATATTAATATTTCACTATTCTTTGTGTTGAAATTGTTTATTAAAAGCAATTATTAATATACATATTGTACGCTTACACACATGTATATTTGGGTGACGGGAGACATTTTTTTTTTGGCGCTCCCTAACTTTTATTTTAATGTAACCGAAAAATCGATGAATTTTAGTGCTGTAAATCATTGAAAATCGTTTGAACATCGAACGTATTCGGTCATTCTGTATTAACTATAAGTATACAAAATATTAATAATTTTTCTATTAATATTAACATTTTATGTTAAAATTATTAAAATTGCTGTATGCTTAGTACTAGCTGACCGGGTTTTGCAGCTATATTGCTAGATAATATAGTGCAAATAACAGTAATAATAATAATAGTAATATTTTTCTTGTCCGTGACAACAAAATTATCATCCATGTTACCAAGGTAATCTATAAATCAACATATACAATTTAATTAATGTTCCGAAAATACCAAAAACCCTCCCGTCCCGCTAATAATAGTTGTTTCATTCGGCGTTGCCCGGGACAATTTTTTAGTTATTTCATCCGTATCACCGAGGTAACTTATGAATAAATAAACAATTAGATATGCATACCAAAAATACCCTATTTTACTCCCTTAGGGGTTGAATTTTTAAAAATCCTCTCTTGGTGAATGCCTACGTTATAATTATACCTGCGTACCATTTTCAGCCTGATCTGTCCAGTGGTTTGGGCTAAGCGACAGTCAGTCAGTCAGTCAGGACGTGTTATTTTAAGTATAAAGATTTACACTAATATAGTATAACTATTAGTTACGAATATCAATTATTCAATACATCATAGAATAAATGAAACCTATTATTACAAATTATTATCGATAAATCAATAATTAGTTTGACCACATGTTTTCATCCGTTTTCGTTTGATGTAAATATGTTATAAAGTATACAATATAACTTTAACTATTTTAAACTTTAATAATTTAATTATAAAGTGTTAATAACAATTCATTTTTGTTAAGTGAATATAATTATTAATATTTTTGTTATTGTTAGTTAATACAGAATGACCCTTGTTCGATGTTCAAAGATTCACCACGCTAAAAATCATAGATTTTCCGGATATTTTGACCAAATTTAAGGAAATCAAGAAACAATTAATTGTTAATAAAAATAAAGTAGCATAGAATGCTTAATTTACATGTATTATTTTTTTTTACTCACTTATAAATTATCTTTTCCTCGTTAATTTCCATGGGTTCCAGTACAAAATATCTACGCAAAAACATTTCTGGTCAAATTATCTTTGGTAAATATCTCCAGTACAAAATATTTCTCCTAGATAAAATACCTTTTAAAAAATCTCTCAGAACTCAAAAATAGGAATAATTTAGCTATAAAATCAATAAATAAATGTAATCGTTTAAGTTGCAACTAACATTATGTTAATTTTATAAATAATTGAGCCTGAAAAAATGTATCTGAAACATAGTGACTGATTATATAGTATGAGGTACATTTATATTTTTGGTATTCAGTACAACGCCAAATAAATTTATTCACACCTTTTTTTATGAGAATCCGATACGTTAGCAATACGACAGCTCGCAGCCTGGTGATCGCAGTTACTAAATTAGTACTTGAAAATTCCTAATATTTTAAAAATATTGTTTAATGGCGACTGCGATATAATACATTATTATTATTATTATTGTATAGGAGGTATATTTTGTGTGAGATATAATGTTGGATGTATTTTATCAGACATATACCGGGGATATATTTTCGGAGTTATTTTGATCGGTCACGATTTCTATTCNAATAACTGAAAAAACTAATGTATTTCAAGTGGAAAACTTTACTTTGTTTCAGGAGAACGAAAAAAGTCCTCCTAGGAATTTCAAATAGTGCTCAATTTTTTAAAAAGTTATGTCGCGCCGAAAATAAATATCACCTAGATAAGAACCAGCCTAATGTATACGGTGAATCGAGATCGCAATAATTCAACCCATTGGAGAATAAAATAATTCGTGTATAGTAATAATAATAAAAGAAATTATATTAAAAGTGCGGATAACTAGGTTGGAGAAAATTGTTTAATAAAAAATTTAAGTATAAGGAAAAGAAATTTGAATATTTGTAATTTATATATACCATTTATCGCTCAAGTTTTTTAATAAACTTCATTATTAGGAATCCTATATTTACAATTCGTTGTTTAAAATGTGTAAAGAAAAAAAAAATGTTTAACCGTACCATAGGAATTTTCACTCATACGGAAAGAAAGAAAAGTCCAGAGTCTGTAAAAATAAAAATAAAAATGTTTTCCGATTTTATTTTTCTTACGTTCCGGATTATCGCTCTCCGGAACAGGGCCGTGAACAGTGGGGTGCGAGAGTCGTCCACGCGCCGGGCGCGACGACTATATGCGCGCATTTTTTAAGTTCTGTTATTGAACGTTTTCATAGTAAACGTACGAGCGAACGTCCAACGGCCAGATCGGGCGTTTTTTTCGCTCGTCGTTAAATTATTCCAGCGCCGGTGCCAATTTTACCAGCCGCGGCACTGTTCCGGATTCTTACGTTCCGGCTTTTGTATGGCCCTCCGTTCGAAAATTGGCAATTCGATATAATATAGGTGCCTAAATGCGGTTATCGACGAGCACGGTGCAATCGCGGTGAAATGGCGCGCCGCCGCCGGAGATGCGAACGAATCCGGTGCATTGTAACAATAACAATAACAATGACAACAATAATGCGTCGGGCCGTCGTCGGCAGAGCCGGCCGTAGCGGGCGAGGTGATTTTCGGCGTTCCCGGCGTGTCGACGGTGCGGTGATGACCGGTGGTTGGGGGGTGGGATGGTGGTTTGTTGTCGTCCGCTATACCGCGGCGGTGGCGGCGGCGGCGTTTTGATTATAACGCGTGACGTCATCGCATCGCGCGGCGGCGTACGTGTGTACGACGCGAACGCGGCGTGCGAGAGAGAGAACGCAGTAACACGTAACGTACGTATTAATCGGTATCGGTACGCGCCGTACAATAAACGGCGGCGCGCACCCACCCTGCCGTAGACCGACGGCCACCGAGTGGCGCGAACATAACTCGTACCGCGGCTACTAGCAGCAGCACTAGCGGCTTAAACGGTCGGCGATTTTCCGGCCGAGATCGTATCGCACGTCGTTTTATAGGGATCTGTCGACGCTATTGCCGGCTACTTATCGTGCACGCGCATTTCGTACGGGTTTTTCTTGTGTCTTCCGCCGTCATCGTCACTCTCGCTCGCGTTCGTGACGTTCTATCACGTATTGCGCTCCCGGTGTTCCGATCTCGGGCTCTTTTTTCTTTTTCTGTCTGTTTTCAGTACATTCGCGCGAGTATAGTGTTTTTCGTTACCGAATGATCTAGGTTTTGTTCTCGGCGAGTGAGCTGTATACGTCGGCTTCTCAGTCCAGAGATTCGCGGGAAAAACTGTCGTACCCATGTAATAAACGTTGACCGTGACCGGTATAGGTAGGTATGTCGTTTTTGTCTGCTATATTATGACACACAACATAGTAATAATATAGTAAGTACAATAATGTGTGCTTAGTAGCGTTGGTAGTTTTTCGGTTCTCGTTGTCTTTGAACAGCCGGCCGGCAGCGTGTACACGTGATGCGAATATGCGTGTTGAGTAGAGGGGCCTACAAGTGTTCGACCGCCGCCCGTCGCACATGTCGTTTCTATACCCGCAATAATTTCTCGAGTGTTTTTCGATAAAATGTTTTCCACTATTATTCCACCTATATTATTATCCCTCTAAAATGTTTCCGTGGTAATGATTCGTGTACGGTCCAACGGCAATCCCACAGCTACCGGCCGCCCGTCGTTTCTAAACAGTATCAGTACACTCTATCGCCAACCACCCCGCGTGCAACGCATCCCTACGTCGATATCCACCAGATTTTTTTTTCGTGTCCGTTCCGTGTATTGTATGTATTCGTTCCAACCCTCTCACCCTCCCTATTCAATGGCCACCTCTACCACCCCGCCCCCACCCAAATACCCCTACCTACCACGGCCGTTCTCGTGTCGGCCCATCACCACGCATTCGGCATCTGCATTCCGCCCGGTCGGCACCGAATAACTCATGAAATATTGAAACGATCCGTAACCACCATCTATAGGGGCTATTGTCACAATGTCGCCCTGTCCCCGATCCGTTGATCACTGTCACGCGTGCCATAAAATAACTATATTTTATTATTATTATTAAAACGAGTTAACGGGAAGTCGATTACATAATAATACTGTAGAGTGTAGACACACGTAGACACTATGGTTAATAAATTGTCAACTCGGTGACAATACATACTCTGCCAGCGTTTTTGTCTTAGCTACGTGTCTTTTATCACGTATCACGCAACACGTCTTTGTGGTAGACCCACTAGATTCGTAGGCACACCATGACTCATGACTCCGCCGTTATAATTGCTTCGTCGATTTATATTGTTTGATTTTTTTTGTTTATGTAAATAAAAACTCGCCGTCGAGTGTCGGCTGATAAATATTTTATCGCGTTCTCTGGGACACTGGCCCATGGGTTACATCCGAGACACGTCTATAATACAAATTAACAGCCGTTGGTTGGGTTTACGTTTGTACTGCTTCATTTATATTAAAGGTACCTACGTAGGATACCAATAAGGAACTTAATAGAATTCCTAATAATAGGTTTTCTTCCATTAGGCTGGGGTTGATTTAGCGTTGACTTTTTTTTTTTTTTGTTTATCACCACATTTTTGTAAAGCCATGGCTTGCTTCGGCCATGGTCACTGATATAATATAAATCATAGTATCAAAAAAAAAAAAAAGAGAAAATGAAAAATTTACGAAAAATGCGAAATGAAGATTCAAGTTTTGAAATACATAGCACTTACCTGTTACAAATAATCAAATAATGTGCTTGGAATGCAATGGCCTAGAACATTCAAAAATAAAGAAAAGAATACACTGCAATAAAATGCGGGCCTTATTAGTTATTAATAAAGTATAAGTACTTGAACAGAAAACGTCAAATGAGTACTATTAAATTATAGATAGTGGGTTTTTTATAGCTTCACTATTTTTAGTTATCTACCTACTTGTCTATACCTCAAGGTGAATCAAATGCTTTCATGTACCTAGTTAATGAATTTATCGATTTAGTTTACCTACCAATTTTCATTCTTATTCTTTTAAATATCTTGAATTTAATTAGTGGTACATTTTAGGTAGGTATTATATATATTTTTTATTTATAGAAATTAAATATTATACATTTTTTAATTATATGTTATTATTTAATTTTCAAATTGTTAGGAAGGTACTAATATGATTAACTGTTTTTTTCAAAGGCCATTTCAATGTTTAATTTTAATTGTTGGTATTTAAATATATTATACATTAATTTGTATCAAATTTTAATTTAATAGTTATAATCAATATTCCCCAAAATCCTTTAACAGTTATTTTCTTAGAGTCAATTTTTAATATAATGATAAAAATTACTGTTTAAGAGTAGTTTAAAACAACTATGATACAACATATATGATAGGTACTTAAATAAATGTTTACTCTGATTTTTACTATTTTACAAATAACATAAGTAATTATAATTAGATTTTCTTTTTCTCAAACAAAAATAATTTTTTTCAGAATCTTATTGTCTATAGACACACTTTAATTTTTCCTTCTTTTTGTTAACATATTTGTTAATGATTTATTTGTGAAATCAAAATTCTAACATGCCTAATATTTTATATTTACCCTGATAAAACATTTATTTTATCAAAAATAATTTAGAATTAAATACTTTGATAGATATTCTAATTTGTTTAAATAGCTATTAAACTTTAACCCTATCAATGATAGTTCTATCTACTATTTAAATACCTAATTATTTAATTTTATTAGATATTGATTTGTATTATAAAAAAAGTATAGATAATGAATGAACCGCACGAGGATTAATAATGTTCTAATAACGAGAAAAAATTCAATAAGTTAATTCAAAATATTAAAAATAAAATAAAATTTATTTAATTAATCCTGTAGGGTACTTCATTAAATTTGAATTTTACTTTTTTTAACACATAGTTTTTGTGTTATAAATTATAATAAACTTGTGTTATTTGTATTTATAACAATATTTGTTTACAGTTACTAGAATCTACAGCTATGGACGAATCCGAAGAAAAAACAATCAACCGAAAAATATTTACGAAACAAAATAAAAATGAACATCAGGCAATCGTTTGGCGTAATGTCATATTGTTTGCTTACCTTCATTTAGCTGCTTTGTATGGTGTCTTCCTAATATTTACCTCTGCCAAAATGCACACTACTGTTTTCGGTATAACTTATAAATACTAATAAATTTTGTCTATGTACCTACTTAATTTTCATTTATTTTAGCGATTTTTATGTATCAAGTATCTTCAATTGGTATTACTGCTGGAGCTCATAGACTTTGGTCGCATCGGGCTTATAAAGCCAAATGGCCATTACGTGTGATATTAATTATATTCAATACAATAGCGTTTCAGGTATTGTTATTTAAAAATATATTCATTTTTTTTATTACATATCTATTATTGTACCTAGGTAAGGTATAATATCTCAGATATGAAATTCTATAAACTATAATTTGTATTGGTAATTTTAGTACCTAACAGCCTAAATTAATTTAATAAATAACTGTCTTATAAATTAGGCAAGATAATCTTGATTTTCAGTGTTTAGACAATGGTTTAATAATATTACTATTACAATTCTGCAAAATACCATTTTTCTTAAATTTGTATAACTTAATACCTGGTCATTATAGTTTTTTGATATGTAAAATTTAAATCTGAAATTAGTCTCCTCTATCATGATTCAGGATAAATTTTAGATTCTGAGTGTAGCAAAGAATGTATTGGTTTAACTAAGATGTTTATTTTATTATTATTATTATTATTATTATTATTTTATATATACTGTGTACAAACATTTTACAATAAATCTTGATCAGATATTTACGCGCGGCACCATTTCTAAAAGGGAATGTTGCCCAGATAGTGCTTTTGGGATGTCATTTTTTGATATTCCAATTGGTTTTCATTTTATCTAGAAAAAAAACCAGGATAAAATGTAAGAATAATAGGAAATTTACGAAAATAATGTTTTTATTATTTTTCAATTTTGTTATTTGTTGTAATACAGTTAAAAATATTCATAGAGACTTGAAATTTAGACAGAAAACTTGTATTTGCCTTTTCTAAATGAGGTAACATAAAGAAATTTTAAAATCAAATATTGATGAAAATTGTTTGTCTAAAAAATTATGTGGAAGAAATCTAATTTTTCAATATTTTGTTTTGAAGATATATATATTGCCGAGTTAACAATGATGGTGAAGTCAAAATTGAGCAGACTGATTTAGTTTTGAAATTTGAAGTTGATATTATGTGGATATTGTATATGTTTAAAAGCTTTATATTGTCCAAACTTATGTATGTCTATCGTAGTCTAATGATATTTCAAGCCTATTGGTGTCCTAGGTCACGAGTTCAAACCTGTGATTTGGAATATAATTTTTGCTTTATTTATTATTTTCCTATTACCTAAACAGAAAAAAAACAAATAAATGTATTTTAAGTGTACCTAGAGACCTTGCTCAGACTATTTTAATCTAAAATACCTCTCGATTTGTTGCAAACTTCTATCAACAATTTTGCTCCGATTCACAATTGTAACACTATTCTGAATGGAAATCTGACCAGGAAGGTAAAATTTGGGACAATATTAAACAAGAAATAAATAATGCCTATTTAATTATTTTATCATAATATACTTATTGTTGACAATGCATCATTATCAACTGAACTGCGCTCAAAATCTTTTTTTTCGTTAGCAATGGTATATTGTTGCTTACAGGTAGACATCAAATTCCTGTCTATATCCTACCTTCCCAACTTCCCACCTACAACAGTGACTGGACCCATGTGCAACATACGTCTGTCTTTTTTTAAAAATATCTCTAATTTATTTTCCTTTTATTTATTTATTAGTCATTTCATTCACAAAATTTTAAATATTAGTACAAAAATTATTTTTCAATGTGTAATTCCTTTATTTTAGACGTATTTTTTGTTGGTGAAAGTGCTCGTTTTTAACAAATTTAGGACCAGAATATGGAATATAAAAAAATAAGTATGTCCTCTTTAAACAATTATAGACTTCTAGTAATATGATTGAATTAGAACCAATAGTTTAAATTTTTAATTACTCTCATATAGAACGTGCCCTATTACTCGTTCGAGTATTGCATTTATTTTTTCAGAGTTTATTAAAATTATTTAATCTAGTTACCTTATAAATATTACATTTTTGTTTTTACTATTGATACTGCTTTTAAATATTCAAATTCCTACTTATTATTGATCAAGTTAGTATTAGAGAAAAATTATATTTTTCATTTTAATGCTTTAGTTGTCTAAAAATAATATTTATTGATAAACAAAGACACATCCTATTGATCTTGTTTAACCGCGGCCAATTTGTTTTTATAAATATATATAATTGTATAAACACATTATATAAACTACATTTAAAAACAAAGAAAAGATTTTAATAAATATAAAGTACTTATATATTTTGTTCAAAATTTAAATAATGTCAGAGTTTATTGTTTTATAATAAATATTAGGATGCGTATTATAATGCAAATTGGATTTTTTCCTGAATGTTCTATAAGGTACAAAATTTATTTCTGATATCTTAAGATTTATATTTTGCATTTTTAGAACATTATTGATAGTGTTACTCTTAAAATTTGATAAAAATCTATTTTGATTTTCTCTTAAAAGAGAAAAATTCATATTTTTATTATTATGATTTATAAATGTATTAGACAGATTTACTGATTGTACCAAATAAATAGTTGTCAGTTGCAATAAAGAAAATGATAAGCTATTTTTCGAGTTGTAGTCGTATTGCACTATTTCCACTGTTGTGTTTAATAAATTTATATACCTAATAAAAAAAGTTTTTTTTTTCTACATTAAAAATTATTTTTAGACTTTTTAAAGCATTTAAATCTGCACCCTAATAGTAAATTATAAAAATTACGATATTAAATTATAAAAATTAATTATGTTGTAAACTTTCTAATACAAATTTCTTATGTAAAATCATACTTAATTATTGTATTTTATGTGAAGATATGTATTATAAATTAGTTAAAAGTTTTCAATAGTGTTACTTATTTTTTTTTATAAAACTTTAAATTATTAGGATGTTGTATATCACAATTAGCAATTTACACCAATGTTCATATTATATGTATACCAAATTTTATTTATAAACACCTTAAATTATAATTTGTTAAAATTTAGTTTCAAAATAATGTGTAGTTAGACAATTTTAATAATTTTTATGATATAGTTTATCTTATAGTATTATTTTGTATTACACTTATTTTGCTTTACATACATTTTATTTTAGAAAGGTTATCTAATAATATAGTTATTATAATAACTATTTTATATTTTTTCTAAAAAAAATTATTTTTCAATTTTCATTTGGTATCATGTGTTTATTTGTTATAGAATCATGTGTATGAATGGGCCCGTGACCATAGACTACATCACAAATATAGTGAAACAAATGCAGATCCGCATAACGCAAATAGGGGATTTTTCTTTTCACACGTTGGCTGGTTATTATGCAGAAAACACCCAGATATCATGGAGAAAGGACGCGGAATCGATATGAGCGATTTATTAGCCGATCCAATTGTTGCCTTTCAAAAAAAGTAACATTTTTAATATTATGATTGAAAGATTATAATATAAGGATACTATATCTACTAATACAGGTATTATAAGTTTCTGATGCCATTGTTGTGCTTTATCTTGCCTACAATGTTGCCTGTATACTGTTGGAGCGAAAGCTGGGCAAATTCTTGGTTTGTAGCTACCATGTTCCGATACACTTTTTCACTAAATGTTACGTGGTTAGTCAATAGTGCTGCACATATGTGGGGAGGAAGACCATACGACAGGTAAAATGATTTTAAATGTCAAACTTTGTAATTAAATCAAATTATCCATTTTCCATTTATGTTAATAGGTTTATTAATCCAGCGGAAAACATAAGTGTAGCTTTGTTGGCATTAGGAGAGGGTTGGCACAATTACCATCATGTATTCCCATGGGATTATAAGGCAGCAGAATTGGGTGACTATAAACTCAACATGACAACTGCTTTTATTGATTTCTTCGCTGAAATTGGATGGGCATACGACTTAAAGACAGTGTCAGCAGCAACTGTGCGCAAACGTGTAGAACGAACCGGCATTGATGATGTTGATAACAAAAACTTATCATGGGGTTGGGATGATAAGGACTTGCCACAATCAGAACGAGAAGCAGCTACAATTATTAACAAACAAGGATGAACAGATGAAACAAAATGTATATTTTGAATTTCCATTATGAGTCTTACAGAGCACCAAGCTCTAATAGTGTAATAGTGTGTATTATGTATGTTGTACATATATTATAATGTTTACTTCAATAATTAACATGTATTTGTTTATAATTTATTATAATGTACACAATGTTAAGGTTGCCATATTATATTATTAAACTTGCTCATTGTTAATTAATCACGTACTATTAAACTATTTAGATCATTTGATTTGATTAAATACAGTTTTATTGTATATACTTTAAAAAAATGTATAGTAGTGACATTGACAACTGAGTAACTATTTGCATTATATTTTATGCAATATTTTTATGTGAAGAATTATTAATTAAAATAATTCCATATACATATTAGTAACACACCTAAATTGTTTTGAATTTAGGCGTTTGTAGTATTAATGTACTATACAGTACATTACATATTTTTTATAATAGTTTAAGTATATAAATATTTGAATAGGTAGTTGACAATCTATTAAATAGTTCAATGGTAAATATTTGATTGTGTCTATCACTAATTGAATTACATTGGTTAAATAAAAAAATTAAATTGCACATTATATTAATTTAAACATATGTAGGTACACAGACAAAAAATCAAGACGTGATAACTACAAGATATAATATATAGGTATAAAAAAATTAAACAAATTTATATTTTATAATTAAAGGATAAATGCTTAATAGTAATTATATTTGCTTTTTTTTAATCTTCTTTTTTATTGATGACTCTTGTTAATTGTTTATCTTCAGTAGATAGGTCAGTATCATCCCATCCCCAGATTTGATCTCCATTGAAACGTGAACCATCTCCGGTTCTACCAGCTCTTTTTAAGATTATTTCATTTGAGACAGTTTTCATATCGTATGCCCAACCAATAAGTGCAAAAAAGTCTATGAAAGCAGTTGTTAAATTAGCACGATAGTGGCCAAGTTCTGCCGCTTTGTAATCCCATGGAAATACATGATGGTAATTATGCCATCCTTCGCCTAGAGACCCAAGTGCCACAGATAGATTTTCAGAGGGGTTTATGGAACTAAAAAAAAAATTAATAAATATTTAATATTTATAACTGATGTAGTATTATAAACTTACGCATCATATGGTCGATTACCCCAGATATGAGCAGCACTGTTTACTAACCAAGTCATATTTAATGTGAAAATATAACGTAACATTGTTGAAACAAAAAATGCATTACAGTATGTTTCATTCCAAAAATAAACAGGTAATATTGTGGGTATGATGAAGCACAATAATAATAATAAAGGAATATAAAATCTAAAAAACCAAGTCTTAGCTATAAATAATTATTCATTAAGCCTTGAATGATACCAAATTATTTAAAAATATTAGTTCTTACATTTTTTGAAACATTACAATGTTATCGGTTTTTAAATCACTCATATCGATTTTTTGACATTTATCATAATAATCTGGGTGTCTGCGAACTACAAGCCAACCTATGTGCGAGAAAAAAAATCCTCTTTTAGCATTATGTGGATCTGAGTTTGTATCTGTATACTTGTGATGAATTCGGTGATCCATACACCATTCATATATATGATTCTGTAAATAAACTTCTATACTATAAATGTTTTATTCCAATTTAATTTCTTTAAATTATTAACCTCAAATGCAATAGTACTCATCAACATCAAAATAAATCGTAAAGGCCATTTTGCTTTGTATGATTTGTGTGACCATAAACGGTGAAGACCAGCCGTAACACCTATACCTGATAATATCCATACATATATTCCTGAAAAACAAATAATATTATTTAACAACACAATATTGTTTTATTCTAAATAAATTTGGTCATAATATTTATAAAGAAATAATTCAGTCAATCTAAATAAATAACTTAATCATCAAAATAATATACAGGAATCAAATATTCTTAATCATTTATACAATATTCAGAACTAAATTATATGAAATAAATTGTAAATATCCATTAAAACAGAAATTGTATTCATAAATAAAAAAATAATAATTTCACTCGCAAATGGAATAAAATAATAACAATAATTTGAATAATATGAACAAACTTTTTGGAGCTTTACCTTAATTTATTAATTTACTTAATCACAATAATTAATTTTAATTGAATCTCATAGTAGATAGTATTTTTTTTTAAAAATGTAATTTAACTATCAGAATAAGAAGTATAAAATATATATAATATAGGTACATGATATTTCTACTCATTATTTTTAATTCTTGCCCGTGGGTATCCACTTTGTATAAGTGTAAATAAAATTACTACTATATAATAAGTTAATAATTATGTAATAGTAACTTTTTGAAATTATTAATACATTGAACACTACATTTTATTTTTTTTAAACTGTCCAAAAAGTATCTATTTCAATGCTGCTAAGACCAAACATAATAACTGAAAAATATGTGTGAAAACAAGTTTAAAAAAAAAGTACTCATCGATCTGTTGAAATGTATTGGATCAGAACAATATCCTCTTTCGTAAGATACTATTGAAAATATCACTACTACAGCAGTAATGACAAATTTTGGACGGTTTTTATATTACTCCTCTATTTACAATATTTATTGGACCCTGAGGGCAAATTACAACATTACTGTTATAGCAGAATTATTGGCCTACTGTCTAACACCTTGGTGTTAAATAAAAGTATTCAAAAAAAATTATTTTAATTCATTTTGTAGTTGGATTAAAAATAAAAATGTATAAACTTACCAAATAATGTAGTTTGCAATTTAGCTGATGCAAATACCAAGTATAGTCCATAAATAGCACACAGATGGCTAATAACAAAAAATAAAACAATTCCCCATATTATGTCTACTTTTACTGGTTCTTCAGATTTGATCTGCATCCTTTCTTCTTTATTTTTCTCCACAGAATTGAAATCTGTCTAAAATATTAAATAAGTAAAGGGTAATATTAGATAATAAAATAATAAATTACAAAAATTAGGCCAATAGGGATAACTGCAGAATTATTACATTTCTTTCTTACTCTTCATTAACCAAAATGCAAAAGTTAATTTGAAAATGTAAAATTGATATATCTTTAATAAATTAAATTTTTTCAAAACTGACGACTACAGTATAATAATAATATGCTCAACATATATTATAATATTATGAATTTTAAAACAATTTACCTCCATCATAGAATTTTTTGCTGTAACAATATCTTCACAAGGCTCCATGTTTAGTTCTGAGTATAATATTAATTCAATTGGATTAGTGACTGATGAATAACTGTAATTAATGTATTTATATATAAACCTATAAGTAATTTGATTAAAGATTAACATCATTTCAAAGGTAGGCAAAACATTTTTCGGACATATCCATCAATTAAAATAAAAACAGATAAGGCTAATATCATATATTATTCACAGTGACAAATATACCTACTTACATGCAATGGATCACTATTTTTATATAAGTAATTTTTATTTCTTTTAGATTTATCTAGCTATTTAGGTAGGTAGGTACTAAATATAATCTATTATTACATATTAGTTTTTATTATGAAAACATATTACAAAGTACGTTTAAACAATTTAAATTATCTAAAACAAATTGAATATAGATACTTAAATCATAATTGTGTTGAATATATAAAATATTATAAAATACATTTCACATTTTTTTGTTCAAATTAAACAGTTCAAAGTTTTTCTTTTGCTGAATCCACCACGAATACTGTACAATTTAAAGTTTAAAATGTAATACTATACTCTTCAAAATGTACAGTTACCTATACTTATACTTATAGTTCATACACGTATAGTTTAAACTTTTAAAGTATAAAAAAAGAAATGTAACAATACGGTACTATAGAGTTTTGTACAGTTGTAACTGAATGATATTAAAATAAATAATATAATAATAAAAAATCCCATAAGATACCTGGTAGATATACCATTTTTTTATATTTATTACAATAAATATCAAACTATCAGTGTGACCAAACGGATTTTTCATATTTTAGTCCAATTTATATTTTTATTTTTATTAAATGAGTACCTACCTATATCTCTCTATAATTTTTAATTTATTCACAGATTTAAAATGTTCAAGTTAAATTTTTATACAAAACTTTAATATTCTGTTCAAATTTAAAAATAACATAACATACTTACCTACACAGAATACCTATGCATACAAAAGTACCTACCTACAAAGTTACTTATTGTAATGAGTGGGTTTAAAATAACCAAGTATATCGTAGCAGGTATATACCATTTTAAACGGTAAAAAAGAACAAGGAAAAAAAGACCAAAGAGAAAGACATAATTTTTCGCAATGTATTAAAGTCTTTAGATATAGTTGTGTGTGTCTATGAATTAAAACTGTTATAACAGCTTTTGGAAATGTTTAACAATGTGGTATATTGTTTGCTAATACTTATTGTTCAGGATTCGAGACAACAATGTATGGATCGCTCAAAATAAAAGAGGGATCGTAGTACCCTTTGACATTTTGTGTCTTGATATAATAAGGTGGGCACAAAAAAATCTCAGATTTGTTAAACTAAAAAAATGGGAAAACAATTTTAAATTATCGAAAAATGTCCGATTTTAAGAATGTCAAATTTACCACTTATTATAAGAAAATACATAAAATGAATTAATTAATGATTAATTTAATTTTCAAGCGAGATATATGATTATGTGAAATATTCTAATTTAGTAACGCTTATATTTCGCTTGAACATTTACGTATTGCCAAAGTTGCCCAAATAATGTTCTCATCTTTATGTTTAATAGTAAGTCAATTCATTCTAATATTAAAACTAATAACACAAAGTTATCACTGCTGAACGTAAATTTGCCATGTGGTACGTGTGTAAGACGGAGATATCACATATTGCGGGTACCTGTTACATAATTATTATGTAAGATGGACTATCCGTTCGAAAATGTAAAATTATAAATTAACATGCAATTAATTTATTAAAATATTATATTACGAGTACATTATAATTTATATTATACATGTTTTATAATTGTCTAAACTAATTTAATTTTTGAATAAACGATAGAGTTCATAAACATTTTTTTAAATTTTTGACTTTTTAGGAAATGCCTTTTTTTTATTTGTCTGGTACTTACGTTGATCAAAATGTATAAGTTTTTTTTATTTTGCTGGTACATACTCCAACCTTAAGCCTTCCATAGATGATTTCGATACATTGTATATTAGTTATGATGAAAAATCTATTCGTATAAAATAACGAGAAATATAATTTAAAACTATACCTAGAATTTATCAGAATCATAATCGAAACTATACAAATTTGACAATTGTATACAATTTATAAAAATAATTTTAAATTTTGAATGAGTAGTCCACCTCATATAATCTCAGTGGGTAAAGATTACGATAGTGGGCGGAAAAAGCACGAAAAAGGCGTTGAGCACGGGCGGGCGGAAAGTGCACGCCACCTATCACATCTTAAGTGTTTAATTAGTAAATAGTGTTAGTGAAAAAAAGATTTTGCACTTTTTCGTAACACCCCCCCTTTAGATATTAGTGGCTACGCGCCAGCCTATACGTACACTATAATGTAGGGAAGTATGTATGTTAAAAGTTTAATAACTTTTAGTGCCTACAATTTTTAAATAATCGTAGGTACTTATACCTATCACTTACGTAATATCCTTCAAAACGTAAGTAACGTTTATAGACAAATTCATTCCGAGAGCCAACTGGTATACGGGGGTCATTAAATTAAATAATAGCTTTATTTATTATTATAATTCAATGGACAATAGTCCATCTTATTTTTGTTTGTTTCATTTTAATTGGGTTTTTATCGAATTAATAATTATCGAGTAATAATTAAGGAATGAAAATTAACTTATTTACGATAACAATGTAACGATCAAAATATGCCTATAACCAGTAATATTAAATAAAATGTTATTTTACTAGCTCGGTTTTATCTATAAATTGTTCATAAAAATCAATTAATGAAATTAAATTCAAATTCATTTGAATTGTAATTTATACTAAAATTTACTTTTTATACTTTTTACCATATTATAATTTTATAAATACCTAGTACCTATATTACATAATATCTATCATAAACCTTGATGCCTAAATATAGTTGCGTACCTATTGGTATAACTACTGTGTTAACAACATATGCAATACTTAATACAATATTCGATCAACAGTTAAATTTTTAAATTAATTTTCATATTTATATTAAACCATAATAATTTTTAATCATTTTCATCCCGATGTTATTTATTTTGAATTTCAGAATTTAATATAATATGATTCATTTTAGTGAGTACATTCATTATCTTGACAAGTATTAATTTCTTTTTTGACAATTTAAAAACAAGCAGTTCTAAAATGTTAAATTACCATTATTATTTTCATTCTTATTGTTGGGGGTGAAGCGATTACATACTTTTGATTTGTATATTAAAAATGTCGATAAAACTTTATTGTAAAATCGATAGTAATCGATTAATTAACCATCACTAGGATGTCTATTATATAGATAACTACATTTTTACCTGTATGGTGTAGTGTTTAACAAAATAATAAGACAACCTGTCTATATTGTACCAATTATATATAATTTGCGAGCCAAAAACCAGCCCTGAAGTTGATAATCGAAGAAAAAGAGTTTTGGTAGAAAAGTTGTTCGCAGACAGAGAAAAAAAAGATACAAAAAAAAAAGAAGATAAAAATAAACATTTAAATTCTAAAGCAATAAAACTGTAATGAAATAATATTATACCATCTAGATACTTTTTCTATTGGAAGACAGCAATTTCGTTGCACGTATACCTAGTATAATAAGATGAATATTTCTGAATAACCCCTTAAAAAAATGTATTACTAATACATAATACATATTTTTAGGGAAAAAAAACATACATCATAGTAAAACCAATAGATCTCTAGCTACGCTCCTAATCTAAAACAGATGCATCATGCATTGTTTAACTTAATTATGCCTGGAGGTTATTACAGAATATTTTTATAAATTCCATTGTAGATCATTTTTTAAATCAATTAAATACGCAGTTTTATCTCACAGATCTATAATTGAATATATTAAATTTTTTTTACCTTCATCAATTATACCTAACGAAGAAAAAACTAAGCAACTAGTTGAAATGCATCAAGAAGATTTAGTATTGGCAGTTATGAGTGAAATATAAATGTGGCAACAAAAATTTGCAGGATCTCAAGATTTATTTAATGCATTTTTTTTTTATCTAACTCAAATTACTGCAGGTTAGGTGATCTACTATTTCTACTGGTCAGACTGATGTTTTCAACACCTACAAACTTGCTCCACGATATAATGTATATCATTTTAAAAAAAAACCTAACGATTGGATAAGTAGTTTTGGAGATTACCCTGGACATCAAAATAGCACTTTGTTTTTTTTATCTATTATATTCCTTTTCTAATCTTGCTTTCTATTGCTCGTAACGCCTTTTTCTTTCATGTTTTAGATGTAGATCGATCAATCAATTTCCGTTTGGGGGGCACAACTGTCGACGATACAGTATTTGAAAAATCAAAGAAGATATGTTTGTCTTATGTATGGCTTATAATATCGTATATTTTACGCATGTCTTGTATCTTCCATGAATTAAAATGTGCATAATATTGATTTCTTCGTCGATAATTAAAATTAAGAATTTCCTCTACAATTAAGACAAAAAATATGTAGTTACCTAAGTATATACACACTCACAGAATATATACCGTAGATATAATAAGAATTTGCCCATAATAACTCAATTGACTAATAATATTTGTTTTTGCATCCGTAGGGTAAATAAATAAATTTAAAACAATTATTTTACCTTCGTACTAAAAGTACCTAAAACTGGCTAAAACCCGAATTTTGTGGTTGATAGCGGAGTTATCGATATACTATGCCAGAAACCTTCAAGGGAATGTACTCAACAACTTCCCAAAGTTTCATGGCGATTCATGAATGGTTTAGGAAGACATAAGAGACATACAGACAAACATTAATTTTTATATACCTATATAGATAGGTATATAGATATCAATTTTCTCTTCACAAGTGCTAGTAGTGAACGATTTTTTTCAACATTAAAAAGATTAAAAACATATTTGTGAAACAACACGTGTGAAAGTGGATTGAATGGTTTAACAATAATTAATTATAGACACAGTGGTTTAATGATAGACCCTGATGATGTCTGAAATAAATAATCGACTAATACAAGACATTTATCTAGGGTTAATGTAATGATATTAACCGTAGTTAATTTGAATTAAATTTAATTAAAATTACAATTGTTGGCTATTTGAATGTTTAAAATAAAGTATGAAAAAATTTAAATAAATAAAAAAATATATTTTATGTATACCTACCTAATGTATAGACCTAAATCCCATTCCCCCCTTCCAAAGAAAATACTGGCTACACTACTGTATATGATAGGCAATTGTCTTGGAAAACAATGTCGAAACCGGAAACAAGGCTAAAGTCATAAAATATAAATTTTATAATTTAAAAATTATTCACAAGTGGGACGAATATTCTATATCTATGTATAGTATTTTTCATGAGAATAATCAGAATTTCAAAACTACCGTGTTGGGAGAAAGTTTTCTTTCATTGTTTCCATTCTTCAGTATTCGATGAATGTTTCGTGTGTAATGTCGTAATAGTATTGTTGCTCCATAAGCAGCTATTAAGTAAGTTATAAAAGTGAACATAAACATGTTAACCTCAATCGTTTTATTAAATGGTAAATATGTATAATTATATTACTTTAATGAGTTTCATAGAAATTTTGAATATCGATTATATTGCTAAATTGCGATTTTAATGTGTCTATTCCCACTAAATTGCTTTAAACTATATATTCGTAAAATAGATTTTTGTAAACCCACTTGGTTATTTTTTTATTTTTACTAAATATACTTGTACCTATAATTTTAAATGTGTCATATTATTGTCTTTTATATGTTAACATAATAGTTAAAACACTATTTCTATAATATGGAGAAAGGTTTGGATGTTTTTTATTTTCCATTGTTTTTTAGATGATCGTACTACGACCCGAACCATCCAAGTCTCTATAATCTTTTAAAATATAATATATGTATAATTTTGTGTACCGTATATAAATTGAATATCGTACATAGTTTTCAAGATTTTTTTTATATAATATGACAACTCACTATACTCTAATCAAAATGCCCCGTTTCGACTATGGTTTTAATCATTGTAATCTATTATATGTACTGGTATTATAGTCTATAGTACTGTTCGATATTTTAAATTTGTACAGTATATAACGAAAATAATATTAATAGTTGCTAACCATAGTCATTTAAATGGCGTTGTATATTGTGTCGCTATTCTGTGTCATTTATTTTTTTTAAATAAGCAAATTTCGTCCATCAACATTCAAATAATCACGTTCATTTTGTTTACAGAAACTCGTAAATTCCAACGATTTAATGATATTTTCCAAAACGGAAATGGACGGCACAGATGCGACTTAGTAATTTATAGTCTAATGTATTTTTAATTCATTCCATAAAAAATTAACAAATATTAATGTATTTTACTATAATTTTGTTCACAATTTTAAAATACATTGAAATCGTTTAATTTAATTTATATTTTATGAGGAAATTTGTACACATAAAATTGTGTTCAAATGCAATTTTGTTTCATTATAGGAAACATGTTTACATTTTTTTTTTATTAAAAACATAGTTACATCCATATTCAAGTATATTTTCAATAGGTATCCCAATCGTCCGAAATAGTAGGTATAAGTTATACACCTAACTGAATTTTAATTGAATTTTCACATACATTAAAACCTATCTGATATAATTATCTTGTATGGGTATGTATATAGATCATACAGGATTTCCTGGATTATATTGACTTCATATATATGCTCGTTCTTCACTAAATCAGTAAACTAGTTGACAACGTATTGGTACAATGTATGTTGAGCATTATATTCAGGCAAACTATTGTCTAACGAAAATTACAAGTACACATATCAAATGCGCATAATAATTACTAATGCACCAAACGTAATCACCATATTGTAATATATGATATTTGATCAAATTGTATACAAACCAACAGGTCGATGAATACGATTGACCTTCAAGAGTTTAATACGTACGCGCAGTTGTTGGCTGGACTTCGGTGAAGTGTTTTTTTAAAACCGTAAGGTAAAAACATAATATTATTTTACAATAAAGTATTAATCCGTGTATATGTGCAATATTAAAGTTTATCGACTATTATTCAGTTATGGTTTTTTGTACAGACTAAAATAATATTATGAATACCTAAATCAATCTTATTATTTTTTTTTTTTACAGATATAGATCGTGCTAACAATTTTGTTGGTATAATTCAACATGGAGAATAATGATACCAGAATACCTAGAGAAATACAATGGCCTATTGTTCTTTATTATTTATATCTCCACTTTTCTGCATTGTTCGGACTTCATATAATGATTACTGAAGCTAAATGGACTACTTTATTTTATAGTAATTATATTTAAATTGTATAAGTATTCAAATTTTTTACCATACTTTGAACCTAAATTATTTCTACAGCAATATGTCTTGTCCACATTTCCGTCCTTAGTTTAACTGCTGGAGCTCATAGATTATGGGCACACGCATGCTTCAAAGCCCATGCCATCCTCAGGGTATTTTTAGTTCTTGGGCAAACTTTAATTTGCCAAGTAAGTACATAATATATTGTGCATTATATATTCTCAAAAATTGATTGAATACCTATACACTATAGTTTATTCATACTTTCAGGGATCTTTGTACGACTGGGTGTTAGAACACCGATTACATCATAAATACTTTGGTACAGAAAAAGATCCGTTCAATGCAAATCGAGGCTTTCTGTTTGCATATTTAAAAAATAAAATGATGACAAATCATCCGGATCATGAAAAATTGTTAAAATCTGTGGACGTTAAAGATATAGAACAAGATCCTATTATAGTATGGCAAAAAAGGTGGGTAAACCTTTTGTTCAGTTTAGTTTTATCCATTATTCGATTTTACAACTTACTTTAGATTTTACTGGTTGCTGAATCCATTGCTAATGGCAGTTATAGTGTTTATACCCACCGAACTTTGGAACGAATCACTAATTTGTTCGATTTTAATTGTTGGATTCTTAAGAGTCACCATTTTGTTACATTGTAGCTGGATTTTAAATAGTGCCTCAATAATTTGGGGATTAGACCCGCTTAACAAGTAATTATCATGCAGTTTCATTTTAATGTATACATTAATTTATTCATACGATAGTCAATAAATACAAATTTATATAGTTTGTTAGGCTAATCGATTAATACCATTTACATAATATTTTTTTATTATAAATAAATTTGTTTTTAATTTCATCATACATCATTATTATTTAAAAAAAAATGATTAAATTAAAATGTATTGCCATGCATATTAAGAGATATTGGCTTTAAAATGTGTTCTACCTTATATGTTTGTACTTACAATTTATTTAAATAGGATTAATAGTGGTGTAGAAGTTTCATATAAATCTGTACGTCATGCATATAATATATATTTTAGATTCGGAGCGTAGCGAGGGATTCATTAGTATTACTATGATGTGTTGTTTTTTTTTTGTCTGTGAACAACTTTACAACCAGAAATCTTGCTCCGATGTATAGAGTGTAGCACCTTTTTTGAAAAGAAATGTTATCTAGTTGGTAAATTGGGGAAATTGGTATTTGATTTTTTAAAAGGGGTTTTCAAAATAATTGAGATCAATCCAAAAGTATAGGCAAAACGGCAAATGCTTATGGCGCGTCGTGTCGTTATCGTTATCATTGTTTTTAATGTTTTCTACCAGAAATATTGCTTTAATCAAAAAATGCCAAGATATTGATTTCGTTCGTTTTAATATATAGCCACTGATACAGAAAGTCATTTTTTTTATACCTAAAATAGGCTTCATAATAATTGAGAAAAACCAAAACTGACGAAAAATACGACTTTTTTCAAATTACGGCGCAACGATTTCATTTTTTAAAATTGTTTAGATTATATTTTTCTACTAAAAATCTTTGACCAAATATCAAGAATAGCATATTTTCTGAAAGAAAATCTAGTTTTTGAGTAAGAAAGTCGTTTTTCATTTTCCGTATAGTTTTCCTAATAATTTATGAAAAATCGAAAAAAAACGTAAAGAACACGGCAAAGTGTACGAAATTTGGGGTTTTTGTTGTTATTCGGTTAAAAATTACTGTAGAGACCTGCAGTCTTCACAAAATACTTATATTGCCCCTTTATAGACGTGGTAAAATTTCAAAACACTAGCAATTTTTAGGTTACATATAAGTATTCATTATTTCGTGTTTTATGTGTATTTTTATTTGTTAGGTATCTGTTATATTAAAATAATAATATTATTTACATTAAATTTATATTTTTAATATAATGTTAAACATTGGTTTGAATTTTGTATTGGTATTAGTATAAGTAAATACAGTAATATAAAATTTAACGAAGTAGGCAAAAATACGCGTAGAATATAATATGACACTTCAGAAATAAATTTTTTTTTTTCTAAAATCAACAAAAAAACGCAAAATATGTATTTTAAATTTTCATTTTTCAAATTCGCTATTGAACGTTTCGTGTATAGAAAGGATTTCTAGTTTAGCCTGTTATAAATTAACAAATACATTATTACACAAAAAATGTGCAATTTATAGATTCTTACTAAAGTTTAAAAAAATGGTTTAACAAAAACATTATGATCAATTTTTTAACTATTTAAGCATCATTATAATTTAAAATATAAAAATAAAATGTACATTATAGTTGTATAAATATATTGATTATTTGTACCTATCTACTGTTAAAAAAAAAAATTTAAAAATTAATGTAGTGTTTACATTAGTTTACAAGATATAACTTTTTTTTTTTATAACCAATTATTTAAATAATTTATATCAATATTATATTCATGTATACATTAACAATTATGCAATTATTTAAGATTAATAACATTTTTGATTTTGCTCAGGTATTCTATTCAAACAAATTTGGTATTTATCGTAAATAAAAGCTTATGGCCTCAATATCATTACCTGTTACCATGGGATTATCAATCCGGAGAATTTGGTAACTACAACAAAGGATGCTATACGGCACATATACGAGTATGGGCAGCGTTACGATTAATAACAGACTTGAGGACAATAGATACCGACGGAATAAGAAAAGCTATGGTCGATGCTGCCAGCACAGGTCAAGACATCAAACAGTGTGTAGAAAAATATACGTTAGATCCAAATCTTCTAAAAATTAAATGTGAATTAGATTTAGAAAGGATACCGTACTGAACGAATTAAATTATTTTTATTTATTATAATATACCTTTATGTGTATTATATCAGCTGTATTCTGTAAATTGTTCAAATAATTTGTTCAAAATATCATGCCTACCTAAATATAGTTATTGGTTTAAGATTTATATGGGTATCTGATGTATACGAAAAATCTTCTAATTTTACTATAAGTACTATATGTATTGCACTATTAGTAATGTACATCGATGAATTTAGAAATTTTTAACTATAGGAGAGAGGCATATACATATTATTAATATTTTCAGTAAATTAATTATGAATTATACATTAAATTAATATAAAATACATAAATAAAAACTGTAGTTTATTGAGAGGGGACACATGTCCCTGTGTCATCCCCTTGGATCCGCCATTGGTATTATAAATCGTATAAGATTAACGGTTGCTCCTATTTTTTTCAACCCAATTTAAATCACAATAATTAAATAGATTTATAATTATTTTTTTTGTGCATCACTATTACAAGTTACAGAGTCATTATAATTTACAGGAGTCTATAAAATATTTTTACAGAACGTTTGTGCAACTTTGTCTTAGTAAAATGGAATTAGGTAAACGGTTATAATATTGCATTATACACGCGTATACCTTCCAAAACAATTTTGCGGTGTATGTACTGCTTTAAAGGGGGAAAAAAATTACGAGTAAATTATTATGCATAGATTTGATCGTCTAATTCTGAGATTGTTGCAGACTGTATGCTATATGTACTACCGAATTTTGATCCCGATCTTATTATTTTAGATTCTTAGCGGAGTGAGGAATGTATTGGTTTTACAATAATGTTACAATGATAACAAATTATATTTTTCTGCGAACAATAATTCTACCAGGAATTATGCTCCCATATTCAAGTATAGCACTTTTTCTGAAAGGAAATCTGACTAGAGTAGTACTTTAGAAGGTAATTTTTTTAATTTTCCCAGGAGTTTCCATAATCTATATATATATATATAAAGGAATGTTTGTGTGTTTGTCCTTTATAGACTCAAAAACTACTGGACCGATTTTAACGGGGTTTTTCCGGAAAAGGTTTATAGCTATTGAAATTTCTAAAATTCAACCCCTAAAAGATTGTTGACAGGGATTTTGATATTTTTTGGTAAGATTTTTGTTGATTGGGTTACCTTAGTAACAAAGTAAATATTATTATTTTTTTTTTTTTTGAATGCGTGGTATCTAAGGTCAAAACAAATCTAATATCTTTGGTATTTACTGAATATTGTTTGTTCAATTCAGATACAAAAAAAAAAAAAATACTAATAATAAAATCTAGTAATAGCAAAGCATTGCCGGAACAACTATATTACATAAAAATGAACGCTTGTCTGTATGTCTCTTATGTTTTCCTAAACCGTTCATCCGATTGTGATAAGGATTTTTGATCAAAATTTTCCCAGGAAGGTTATGGCTTTAAGAGAGTTTTAATACTCAACCCCTTCACCCTTAAAAATCATCATTCGTAGTGAAAAACAATATTATTATTATAAGATTTTACATTTTGTTTATTTATTTAGTTTGGAGACGCGGATCTAGCAATAAAGCCTAGCAAAAGAACATACTATAATAGATAGTCTGCCGTAGAATTACTTACTATCTATTTATTTTTTCCGTCCAATATACTAAGCAAAACGGGAATAAAGGTAAAAGAATTCAACAAATGGCATGGGCAACACCAGACGGGAGACAGCTAGCACTTTCAGCACGATTATCCTTTTTCTATAACTGTAATATAAAAACTGACAAACAAAAGTTGTAGGTAACACAAAAAGACAACACATGGTCGAAGCCGGTTTATTCAGCTAGTAAATAATAAAAATCGGTGAAAATGTATGAAAGACTGAACAATTTACGAAACGTTATAATTTTTTCAAATCGTAAATATTACGGCCTTTCAAAACATGTATAACCGAACTTCTCTCAGAATCGCTTTTCTTTAGCAATTATCTCTCGTTGCGTGCAGTTATACATTAAATTTCCGTTTCTCACTTTATACTTTTCACCTACAACAATGGCCTGCCCATAGTCCGAAGTATGCCCGTTTGTTTTATATTATGTTATTTTACTAATTTAATAGACTAATTAATTATATATGAACTCCAATATCAGTTCAATTAAATATAATATCAATTATACGGTTCAACGGTAGGCATATTAATAATTATTATCGTATTTGAACCTCGAACTATATAGTCTGTATTCATTTAATATTTTGTACTGCTAGGTACATTTAATTGCTTTGGTTCAACTATACCTAGTCGAATGATAAATATTTTTTGATTGTAGGACGTAGGTAGGTACCTATATTTCTATTTAATGTAGGTATTACCTAATATTTTCTGTACATGTAAACATGTTCTATACATGTTTCTATGTAAACTTCGGACGAGTACCTATACTTTGCATTTTGAAAATTTAATACATGTTCATACTATACTTTAGGTATCTAATAGTCTAATACCTATATTATATTGTATACAATTACAAACATAATATAATTTAAAATTACAGCGAATAGTCCGCATTATTATTCTATAATATTTTTAACATAGATAGGTAGGTTTAATTCATACAGGTACTAACTAATATTATCAAAAGTTTTTAAAAAACTTATTCTGAAAACGGCGCATACACTAGACAAATTTAGATAAATTCACTTAAATACCTCCCTTATAATATAATTATAAACATCATATATTATCACATATTATACATCTTTTAAATTATTATTATATAGAAATGGAGTTGTATCGTTTAACTGTTATTATCGTCATGGATACGATACATACGTTGGTAGTCAATACTACACTGTCTCGCTGTATAGGGTATTATAAAATATTATAGTCAGTGAATAGTCAGTGAATAATAATTATTGTAAAACTACCCAAACTAGGTTAGTTACTCTCCAAATACATCGAGAAAAATGGAAATTACCGAAGAATTTGGCGGCGATCATAATACTGCATGTCACAAACCCAGGTTTGTAAAAAAAAAAACTTGGTATTTATTATGAATGATAATATTGTTATATTTTTTCTCGTAACTTAAATGTTAAACTTAATTTTAACAAATGCAGTGAAAGAATAAATTTCGGAGAGGGGAGGATTGACTCCCTAACTCATTATCATATTATACTCGTATTATAATACATAATGATTACAAATAATTATTATTTTCAGTTATATTAATTGTTTATATACAAAGTGATTCAAAATGTATGTTACAGCCATTTTATCAAGTAAATATTCAAAATAGGAAAAAATGTACAACACAAAAGATTTTCGATTTATAAAGAACTAAAATACTTAATAAATTTTAAATTCTGAGTGTAGCGAGGAATCTATTGGTTTTACTATGATGTGTACCTCTATTTATGTTTTTAATTTTCTGTCTATAAACAAATTTTTACCTAGAAATCTTACTCCAATCAAAACATGACAAGAGACCTTATTTTTAGTATTTTAACTTTAGTTGGTACTTTAGAAAGGTTTTTTTTTTTTTAAATTCTCATTAACATTCGAAAAATGAGGAAAAACTGGTTCCTTAGGTTAAAAAAGATTAAACGATTAAAAATAATGTTGTCATTGGCAACCGTTTTTATTTATTTTTTGTTATTATTTTAATCTTAATCTTTTTTAAACAATTATTGTTGTCGTGAAAAAGTACATTGTTAAAAAAGCAACACTATTGACCGAGCTCTGCTCAGAATCATTTTTCGTTAGCAATGATTAATCATTGCATACAGATATAAATTAAGTTCCTCTCTATATCCTATCCTACCAACTTCCCACCTGCAACAGTGGTCGTACTCGTCTCCAGTATCAGCTCTTTTTTAAGGGGTTTTGGGGCCAATTTTGAATTTCAAATGAGAACTTATAGGTTTAACATTCTATGAAGAGATTGAATGTTAGTTTAAAGTTTAAATATATTTTGATGTTGATATTTTTGATCAAGTTGACGAGATATTCCACTTTTAAGACGGAAAGTAAAACCTGCAATAGGGGCGTAGGTAGCCTTTTATACAACACTTACATAATACATTTATATTATTTATTCAAAAAGTGGACTAAAAATTGCTAACACAAACAAATTAATTGAAAAAGTTCAAACAATAAGTTGTACTAAAATAAAATAATTTAAAATTGATAACATTTATTGGTTAGAGTAAGATTATTAGTTAATTGTGCTAGTTTTCAGCGTATCCTTGAGAAAAAAAACACCTTGGTACCACTGCTGGGTAATGAATTTCCCAGTGTACTTTATTATCTTAGACACTCCCAGGAACTTATCAGAGAGGGGCCTAATAAAATCAAACACCAAAAAGTACTTAAAATTATATTTGAAATTTTGAAGTCCAGGGGTGGGCAGATGCCCCATCTTGCCTCCCTCTCTGGGCGACCATGCTTACGATGACGTGGTTTTTCATTCAACCATATAAAAACAGCTGCTTGTGGATTAAATATTTCGATACCGATGGCATATTTATTTTTACATAAAAACAATAATCAACTGTGCAAGAAAGACCGACCAGAAGTTTTTAATAAACTATATTATGAATTACCGGACCATGGTTAAGGTTTATGCTTTTCATGCCTATATAATTGATAACGGACAAGTAATTTTCAATTTAATAATTGGAATTAAAAAATGAAAATATATTTGTGTTGAAATCTCAAATTACTGTTATTTCTAGAATTAAAACTTATATGCCCATTACAAAACTCAGTATACACATTTGTAATTCAGAGAACACACTATTTTAAGCCCTGCAATATATTAATATACGTCAAAAAATTAGAAAAGAATGATTTTTTACGTTGTAGGTATAATGTTAAATCTAGCATAAGTAATCAAAGTAATATTTTGTATTACATAGTCTACCTACACAATTTAAATGATAACATTATATAAATTTGGTTTTAGAATAACAAAAGAATCATTGAAGGACCTTTGCAAACAAAAAAAATTATATATTATTCCTAGTCATAATGACGTACTGTACCTTCACTTTAAAGGTGTGTAAAAGATTTAATTATGTAGGTCAGTCGTACCAACACTTTAAGTAAAAATGCTAAATATATTTTGATTACAAAGTATATTTGTATTTTTTTTTCTTTAGGTTATTTAAAAATTGAAAACTTGGAGGAATACACTGGACTCAAATGTCTGTGGCTAGAAAACAATTGTATATCGACTATATCTGGACTGGACAGTCAAAAAGAACTTGTTAGTTTATACATGCATCACAATGCAATATCTAAAATAGAGAATCTAGATGTTTTGGTCAATCTCCATACGATAAATTTAAGTCATAATTTCATTAAAACAATTGAAAATTTAGGTGAGCACATACTTTTAGTCATACAATATTAAGAAAATATTATATTTTCAACAAATTTCAGATACATTGCCGGTTCTTAATACATTGATAATATCCCATAACAAATTTTCCAAAGCTAATGATATTGTCCATTTGGCTAATTGCAAAACTTTATCCATCCTTGATTTATCGCATAATTATTTGGACGATCCAGAAATTGTAGAAGTAAATTGTTCAATCATTATAATATAATAACCTATAGTCGTTATAATGCATTTATACATTTGGTCTATTAATTTTTTTAGATATTTAGCAAGATGGAATCTTTGCGCGTTTTGACGTTGACAGGAAACAGCGTTATTTCAAAGATAAAATATTACCGGAAAACATTAACTTTAAAATGTGTAAGTTTTTTAGTTACATTAATATAATTTATTTTATGCAAATTTTTTTTGTTGCGTACAATTAACCGAACTGAAAGGTTTAAAACTTATACATTGATATGTATTTTAGTACAAAATATTTGTGTTTTCGTTCTATTATAGAAAGAACTTCGTTATTTGGATGAAAGACCAATATTTAAAAAGGATCGAATGTGCGCAGAAGCTTGGTTAGTAATTATTATTATATAGTATAGTATAGTGTTTTATACCTATATATGTATTATAAATACGTTTAACAATAATTCGATTAAAAATAGCATATACAAATCGAAACTTTCAATAGTAAAACAAATTTGTTTTAAATGTCCAGGAGTACTGGCGGAACTGAAGCTGAACAAGCCATGAGAACAAAATTAAACGAAGAAGATCAAAAAAATATTTTAGATTCCGTGAACACGCTAATGGGATTGCGACGACGAAAAGAACACATTCAAATTACTCCTGCAGGCGACACGACCGACAATCTTGATGGAGTCAATAATGATAAACATACCACCGTCACTGATACCGTAATAGTTTCTAAAGATTATTACGAAGAACACGATTCTTCAGACGAATCTACCGATGAATCGGTGAAATCAACTAGCGATAGTGAAGATTATAGTGATCATTTAGAACGTTCTCAAAAACGACAACTTCAACAACTAAGTACTCGTACCATTGTAGAAATCGATGGCTGTAATGTCGTCCACGGTGTAGATGATCGTCAAACTGTCAATAATCATCTATCTGATGGGAAAAACGGAAGTATAATAAATAACGAAGTTAATGAATTTGATAATTCAGTTAGAAGTGAAAAAGATAGTAATACTGACGTGGTTTTAATCAACGAAAATAATGAAAACGAAGATAACAGTTTAATACAAAATCAACAACAAAATACTGATATTACAATTACAAATAGTGCACTCTCAAATGTCAACAATTTTGAAAAATGTAAAATTGAAGACATAATTGTAAAACAAAGTACTGGAGCCTCTGGAAGTGATAGTTCTTTAAGCTTGGTGCAAACCGGTAAAACTTCAAAAGTTTTGTGCACAAAAGGTTTACATAGTTTTGAAATTATACCAAATACAGACGACGAACTTGGCTTACCAACTGTAACGGCCATAACTGAACCAGATCCAAATACCGAAGAACTTTCTATTTGCCTTCCGTGGAAACAATTCTATTTAAATGAAGATGAATATTACATTAAGAAAATGTCTGAATAAAATCATCATTATAGTAGAAACAGAAACTAATTTAAGATAAAAAATATTAATTACGTTTAATAAACGAAGATAAATATATTAAAGGACTTAATATTATAAAATTAATCAAACGTTTACAATAACATTTTAAATTTTGAGTGGAGCGAAGAATCTTCTGGTTTTACAAAATTGTATATTTTTTTTTTTTATCTATGCGCAACTTTTCTACCACAAATCTTATTTTGATTACTAAGTGTAGCACCATTTCTAAAAGGAAATCGGTATAGAGAGATACTTTAAATAAGTCATTTATCAATTTTCCCAAAAGTTTTCCAAGCAAATGTAAAAAACCGAGAAAAACATGGGAAAATCGGACATCGGTACATTAAACAAATATTATTAAAGAAAATATACAATGCCTATTGAATTATTTTATTATAATATGACATTTATATATTGTTGACAAAGCATCACTATCAACTAAACTCCGCTCAGAATCGTTTTTTCGTTAACAATAATTTATCGTTGCTTACAAGTAGGTATACATTAAATTACCTACAATAATAGCTGCATCCGTCTCCATTATCCTAAGATAGCTTTTTAAATATCATATGTAGTTGCTGTCATTGAGGTTGTCATTTTTTTGATTTTACAAGTCGTTTTCATAATAATGCGTTCAAATTTCAAAATATTTTTAACCGAAATTTGTTCAGAATCGTATTTTGTCAGCAATGATTTATCGTTGAGTACAGATATAAATTAAATAACTGTATGTACCTATTTACCTTTCCAATTGCCATCAACAGTATCAGCTTATTTTTTTTACTTCTAGAATCTAAATTTATGTACACTACTTAATAAAGAAAATATATTTATATGTATAGGGTATTTACAATTTATACACGCATATTATATGTATATATATATATATAATGAATATTATAAATGAAATTAGCAGCAGGTCAGTCGGTTAGCAACATGATTAGTAGTTATTCACTTATACCCCCACCGACTATAGCCATCACGCGTGTTTTTTACGTTATGTATAGGGAAGGATACGATGACGATTCAGCCAGTTTGTGAACTCAATTGTGCTGGTGTATATAAGTTCTCGGGAAATTAGTTAATTTCGTAAGTATATTATAAATATTCAATAATTAACATTGTAACATTATAAATTACATACACAAATTATAAATACATTTTTAACATTATTTTTAACCGATTATTATTGCATTTTTCAAACTTCAAAAGTTTTTATGACAACAATTCTGTAAAGGGGGTCCTATACATAATACTCTTTATTTTTAAAATTTTATATCCATCAATACCTTTTTAATGATGTAAAACTGCGCTTACGCGTACAATAATATATTCGGTAAATAAATAAAATGTACCTATTAGGTAAATCAACTAACACGGTAATTAATGACGTTACCTTAAAATAATAAGTTATTCCAGTAAAACTAAATACTATTATTAATCATTAACTATTAGTTGATTGCTAATCAAATTTTTCATTTAAATCACTTTTTTTCATAAAATATAATAAAACAATATAATCTATATATTACAAATTTACGCTATAATTATCATAAATCATTTTTTCTTAATTATTGCAATGTGAAGATATGTACAAAAATGTATCAATGTATTCATTAATCATTAACAACAACGTGTAATTTTATTTTTCAAATTTTTACATTAATCTTAAGAACAAATTTTTTTTTTCTTTCCACTTATTCCACAATTTAATTGTATAATATTATGTTTCGTTTACATTATTCGTAAACGTGTCGTGAGTATAATGTACTAGACAAATATTCTAACGGTGCTTTTTGTTTAGTTTTAAACTTGTATAAATACTTGATATGATTAAAATTTAAACAAAACCTATCTATCTATCTATCTATCTATTTATCAAATTATCATTAATATTTTTTAACCAAGGGCTATAATATTATTTTATTTTTTATTACTTAACTAATGTTGTAACTACGTGGCTTTATTTTATTAATTTTTTTGAAACACTAATTCCACAGAAATTAGCTTTATCCAGTAATAATGTATAACAGTTGCGCAATTTTATGATATACCCAATCGTTAAAATTAAATATCTATATCGATGTCCGTGTTTTATATAGACGATTTGTTAGAGCACCTACAATTTTTTCGCAAATTTGAATAAGCACCTTAATAATACCTCCGAAATCTATATTATAACGTACGTATAAGGTACCTACGCGGTTGTTGTCGTTGAAAATAACATAGATTAAATAAATGCACCCAGAAGTAACGATTAATCATTGGTAAGATTAAAATCGTGTATGCTAATCAGCAAACCGGTTGTTTTGTGCTTATGACGGTAAATAGTGCCTGGGGAGCTTACCGCATGTCCGTCACCTTTCCCCCGATCGTAATTAGTTGCCCGTGCTGTCGTCATGAATGGAGCAATTTCTCGAGAGAAGACTTTGGTCGGTTGCCAAAAGTGGATTTATACTCGGGTCGATGATCCCCAGACCCCGGGTGACCGGATCGTATATAATTCATTTTGAGTGTGAATAATAATAAAATTAAAATATATTATGTAGGACGTACAGGTATTAAAATAGGTACAATAAAATTAAATTTCATTACCAACAGATATCACAATTTTATTTATACATTATATTATTATTTGTACGGTTTGTAATATTGCAATACACCCAGCGCCATCCATCCATTAGGGCTGTACGCCTCTATATAATATGTGTAAACAGATTTTTCATTTTCAACATCGATTATTATATACGTTTATCGAATTGAATTCATTCAGCATAATTATATACTTATATAAGCTAGGACCTACCTATTAGATGTTCTCGTTATTAAGATATCCTACCTCAACCCGAAGCAAAAATCGTTTTCCTGGCTACTTGCCAAAATATCGTATGAATGATATCCAGATTGATATACCTATTGATACAACTTCACGTTCGGTATATCTTGTAATTTTGTTTAATACCTGTTTATTGTATAAAGTACGTTATCAAAACTTATACTTTCACGCGGGACAAATTACAAGAATCCAGTGCTCGACTTGGGGGAAGAAGCACAGTGGCATGGAGTACCTTAACTAATATTTCAGACATTTTAGATTAGATTACGACGTTTTTTTACCATAAAAAATGATTTAATCGAAAAATCACAAGATACCTTTTTGTTTTACTTTCTTACGGTATTATTGCTAAAAATGTTGAGCCACTTTTGAGCTTTTAAGGAATTTTAATTTTTAGTAGTTTTTTTACTTAATTCAGTTATAAATACACGTAGAGACTTAAAACTTGGTAACACTACTTATACTGGACTTACCTAAACGTGGTAAAATTTCCAAAACCATCGAATGACTTTTTTTTGTTTTTTTAATAAGCGTTTGAAATCAAATTTAAATGAAAATCGCAAACAAAATTACGGCACTTCAAATTATGTATTACCGAACTGTGCTCAGAATCGTCTTTCGTCAAGCAATGATTTATTGTTGATTACAGATATAAATGAAATAACTTTATGTATCCTACCTTCCCAACTTTTCACCTATAACAGTAACCGCTTCCATCCCCAGTATCAGCTCTTTTATTTTTTATTTGTTTTCTGTAACTTGTTAATTATTTAACTATGCTTGAAAATTGACTTAAAGGAATTGTAGGAAGTGAAGATTTCCACAGTGTAGGTAGAGTTAAATAACTGCAAAGAACATTAATTTTTTGAAGTCATATAGGATCTTTTATTTTTTTTTTTTCAATTCGAGCACTAAATAAAAATCGCTATAGAGTTAACAATATTATTCTATACTCGATTTTCAAAAATTATGTATTTAAATTTTATGTGTAATCTTCTGTGTTTTCATTTTATGATGCAACGACACTATTTTTATTTTAGAATAAAATCATTTCAAATTTCAACGAGTTAATATCATGAATTCGAAATATATTTTATCGCTGATTTTCAGTCTACAAATATCAATTGGATTGACAAACTCCACTTTCCGGAAACATAAGGTACCTAATAATAATATATTATACATATTTATCACAACTTCATTGTAAAAGTTAAATATACTATAGGTATTCGACATTCAATTTGTGTTTTAATTTAGGTCCATAACATCGTACTGTACCCGGACAAGCATTCGTGGTGTACAAGTACGCCGATTAAACAAGTCATATCTGACGTAGATTGCAATCCCGTGGAGATAGACAACCGCGTTTGTTTGGGCGCTTGTTTCAGCTATTCTATACCGAGAACACTTCCGGTCAACAACGTCGACGAGGTTAACTCGTATTGCGACTCGTGCCAACCGATCAAGACGTTATGGATCCCCGTGAGTGGTGTGCCCAAGACAATGCGCATATAGGTATATTAATATTATTAAAATTCGTCCACAACGCTCTTTTAGGTGCAGTTAACGTGCACCGACGGGTCGAATCGCACTAAACACGTTCAACTGATCAACGAATGCAGATGCTCGTCGTGTAGCCGACACTGGGAACTCGAAAACCCGCCTACGTATGATGTCGAAGACGAAGAACTCCCCGCACAAACATCGAGGTGAGGAGGTTGGGAAATGACCATTTGTTTATTATACCGATTAACTCGCTGATCAATAATAGAATCCTTCAGATATTTGGAGCTAATGAAACTTAAGCACGACGAAAACACTGAAGACGAAGAGAACAATAATAACACTACCGACGCATCGGAGGTTAGTACTTAAAATATTTATTTCACTATCGTGTGATATTCACATTATAATGTACGATCAACTGAAATCCGAATTATATATATATATATCGTATAATATAGTATATACCTTTAATTTATAAAAAAAATAGGTATCGACTCGATCGGTGAATGATTTGAAATTATGTAGGAAAATCGGATTCGAATTTTTTAATAACTTAGATAAAAACCAATTTGTTTAAACAACGTTAAATACCAAATGAGTGATAAAAAGTCGGAATCAGAATACATAATCATCATATAAATACGTGGCAAAATCAAAATTAAGATTATTTTGATTATTATTTTTTTACTCCTTAGTTCAATGATATCGATGGACTGCCATTCAATCCTATTTACCACAACTACTTTCAATTCGCTATGAATCGTCTTCTATCTTTCCCTGTGCATACTATTTATGTTACCTGGATTATCAAATAATCTGGTATAGTTCCGTCTAGAAACTCAGTAGGGATATTAGATAAAATAGAAATAAATATTTAGGCACTTATCGCGAGTGTAGAGACACTCGAGACTAGAGAGTCTCGACTCTTATTGTTTTGCATTCTCTTAATTTAAGTGAACAAATATAATACTATGAACATATTACAATATTGTATATCATTTTTTTTTTTTTTATTATTTCAGATGATTTTGGATATCATTAATTCGACTAGATTTGTTCACGAAAAAAACGTTTGGATTCGAGGTCCACATCATTCAAAAGTGAGATTATATGAAATCAAAATATTATAAATAAATAGGTGTAACTTCAAATAATAAATTCGTATTTGCAGGTGTTATTGAAAAAAGAGATAGTGAACGTCTCCTCAAACATTGATAACGATGAAAAACACCAATATTTAGGAGAAGACATCGCCGATAAAAATAAACTCTAATGTGTAATAATAAGTATATAATAATAATAATAATAATAATAATGTTAACAACTATTAAAATTTGATTTTTAAACTGATCGATTAAAATTACATTGAATTTATAACAGTTATAATATTGCCTGTTTAATAAGGCGGAAAATAATTATAGGTTGATACCTACATCGGTGCACTGCCAATCGATGCATGTAGTTGTTTCAACAACAAATCTAAATCTAACGCGTTCTTTTTGCATTGCGCAGCCATTTGACCTTCGGGCAATTCTTTCGGTTCGTATTTCAATATGTTTTCGGCTTGTTCTAAATAAAACTTTGATCTCTGTGAAAATAAAAACAAAACAAATATATTAAAACAATAAAATGTATCTCAGATGGAAAATCGATCGGTAATAATTATTACTTACCAACAAAGCCTCCATCACGGTGTTTGGGTCTCGGTTACATCTTCTCGCGTCTTCCGCCATCACAGCGTGTAACTCAAACATCAAAGAGCCCTGTATACGACATTCGGCTATAAAAATAAAATCAAGTTATTGGAAATTAATAATACATTAAGCTCGATAAGACATTATTATTGGAAGGCAATTAATATGACCTGGAAACAGCACTTCTGCTAATTTTAAGACTTTCAAACACAACTCCCTTTTGTGATTCAACTGTTCTTGCGAAAGTTTGTCTAATGGCTCGCCTTCCAGTTGTCCGTAGAGTTGGGCCAAATTCAGACGGATATCAGTGAAGTAATAATGGTTTGGATGTAAGTCATCGGCCGACACATAATGTTCCAAAAACATACGGCAATGATTCGTGTCCCGTCGGTTCATAGCCGCCATGTCTTTGCCAACGTGGGCCAAACACTGTTCAATTCTGTTCGGATCGGTGACTCCCGAACAAAAGTTACACTTCCATTCGATGTCGAATGGATCGTTGGTAGATGGATGGACGTTCGGCAGAGCGTATCCCATACAATCCCTATGAGAAAATCATCGGCGTCGTCGTACAACTTTTATAGATATCCAGAACAATATAATAATAATATAAAAAGCCACACTCACTCGGTCACCGTGCACTTTACCCCGCTAAAGTACGTCCCAAGTTCCGTGGGATCAACACACCTAGGACACTTGCAGACGAAAAACTTCGTGTCAGCCAAATGAGCCAACCGTTGGGCGGTACCCCATAATGGGTCCGTGTATGAAATGGACAAGTGTTGGTCCGTTTCGATCGGTGCGTCACCACTAACCCTCACCAACAGATGGCCGTCCCGCGTGAACGTCTTCGAACAGTTTGGCAAACAACTGTGCTCCAGCATAGACCCCGTGTCGTAAATGGCCACGTACGGCGGGTCGGTCAACGGTACTTCATGCCCGTTGACTTGAACGATCCCGCACACCCTGAGTATTTCGTCGGTCGTATACTCGGATTGGTCGAGTTTGAAAAACCTATGCAAGTAATCTGCGATCCACAACCTGTCAGACTGGTATTTGGATCCACCCCGGCGACTGGCACAGTGCGACTCTAAACGGTTCAGTTTAGTCCAAATTTCCGGGTTACTGTGCTTCTGATACAGACACCTGATCACCGTGATGGACTGATAACTGGGATGCGGAATCGTGAAATCATTTATCTCCACCTACAAAATATAATGTATACGCATAAACGGTCACGTTATTATACAATTGCTAGGTTCATTTTGAAGAGGGTATGGTGGAAGTCTAAGAACCTTACATAAAAAAATTATTTAAAATCAGCTAATCATATTTTTTTTAAAGCGATTCTGAGTAATACTTCCCGATGAACTAGTTAGACTATATGCAAATATATCGTTTTCCCCGTATCAATATTAGGGAACCCGGGAAACAAAAAAAAGTTCAAAATTAAAGTGAGAGCCCCTATCTAGAAATTGACACTGAGAATATAATTGGAAGTGTACCTATTATGAGGTAGGTAAGTATACTTAGTGGTTAAAGTGAAGCAACTAAATATAGTATATATACCAAAAATTAAGGGGCGTTCCCGACCATTAACTTAACCTAACCAAAATTTCAAAAAACCCATCATAGAGACGAGACTTCCAAAATGTTTTTCTCCCATGTATATATTTATTTATAAAAAATACTTAGACAATAGGGTTTAAAAATAAACTGTCTATCCCCTCCAAAAAAAAAATAAAAATATTCTCCATACATGACTGTTCACCCGAAATAAAGTAAAGCAGAGTCTGATTATATTGTATAACTCAATAGATGTATTTTTTAACAAAACTCTTTCTTGTTTTAGATTATGAGCGGCCACGGCGCGAGAAATGTATTCTAGTGAAATTTGTTTTACAATGATGTTTCTTTTTATTTTTTGCAAACAACTTTTTTACCAAACATTTTGTTCCGATTTCAAGTGTAACAATTTTTCTGAAAGGAAATCTAACATGGGTGATACTTTAGGGAAGTCACTATTTTGATTTTATTGGGGGTTTTCATAATAAATGGAAAAAACCGGGAAAATTAACGAAATGCGTATTTTCAAATCGTAAATATTGGGGCTTTCCATTAAACATGTAGGTACAACCGAACTCCGCTCAGAATCTGTTTTTGTTAGTAATGATTATTCTTTGCGTATAAAGGTTTATATTAAATTTTCCTTCTACCTTCCTAACTTTCCCTACAACACCATCGTGCAAAGTATGTCCGTTTGTATTAGATTCGGAGCATAGCGACGGATCTGTTAGTTTAACTATGATGCTATGATGAGTATTTTCCTCTTTTTCTTTTTGAATTGCATTAAAAATATCTCAGTGAAAATAATTAAATCGTCTTACTGACTTCGGAGATTATAATTGGTTACTTTTTACTTTCACCCCACCACCCCAATTATTCACTGGATACACTGGTTACATGAAAAATCGTAGTTTCAATATCTCACTTTTTGTTTCCTCATTGTAACGGTCCAATCACATTCGGCTCTATGCCATTCATCGTCCAAGCATTTAGGATCGTCCGAACACATGGGCCAACCGCATTTTTCACACCTAGTGGCCGTGTCCGCGCTTATTGATTTCAGACATCCCAAACAAACGGGACCGGTGATCTGTGACGGTCCCCGGACCAGCGGCCGTTCGATGAGCGCTACCTGCCATTGGGACAAGTTCACGTTGGCAGCCACGTATCTGCCGAGAGTCGGATCTTCTGCGATCTATTTAATATAAATAAAACAATTATTCAGAACCTAAAGGGTTTGGTTTTAAATAAAATTACAAAAAAAACAAAATAACAAAATTAAAAATTTTAGTTGAGTCTATATCAAAAAAAAGAAATAACTTAAAAAATGTTTTTATTTATTTCCGGCTCTTATACTACCTTTATCAATTGTTTAACCATGATGACGATACCGGTGTTTAATGTACATGTGTAATGACTGATGAGCTACAAACGGTGAATATATGTGAGATTGCATCCAAACTTAAATAGAACAGTTTTTCACACACGACCAAGTGGGGGACTTGTGTATTTAAAAATAGTATGGATCCAAAAATGTAGAGCACATTATAACAATGATTTTTATACTTTTTCTCTTAACATACATTAGGTATTTATAGAGACTTCCCAACGAATAAATATAGATATTATTATTTAATATAGGTGATTAAATATCTTAAAACAATAGGTAATATTATAATATTTATTCTTTATAGGTATAGGGGCCAGGATGGGGAATAAGTCCTGACTTTTTGAAAAAAAAAAAAAATTAAAATAAAAAATTTTTTTCGGAGAACAATATTAATTAGTAATACTACTCCAAATTGTTCATGCCATGGACACTGTTTTGGTAAAAGATGCAAATTTTAAATTTTTTTGTCTGATAGTTGGTATCTGCTTTATTTGAAAACAATTTTACATTCCAAATAAGTTTTATAAATTTTAAAAACTAATAGGTAACAAATAATTATGTCAATACATCAGTTTTATCTATGACGATTTCTGGGTTATCTTAGTTACAGAGGGAAAAGTACCTTTAAAAAAAAATGTCCTTTCCTTTTATAACTAATATTATTACACTCAGAATCATATTTTAATTGCAATAATCTGTCATTGTTTTCAATAAATATCATTTTAAAATTATTTTATGTTCAATACCAATGGTTCTCAACATATAGTACACAGAAAGCTTTAATAGTACAGGAAGACATTTTTTGATGAATGAAAAAAAAAAGTTAATAACTGTATCAAGTGATATGCGGAAAATTTCAAAATGTATAGATTGGAAGGTTAAGATATACCTTTCTAACTTCCCACCTACTAAAGTGGGCTATTCAAGGAGTTAAGTACGTTCTTATTTTTAAAATTCTATTATGATACATTACAGATATAAAAACATGGGAGTATTTATGTATTATATAACTTAGTTCTTTAATGAAAAAATTACTATTAGCACCTATAATTATAGGATATAAATTTAGGAATTTGTATTATCTAAATAAACAATTATCGTAAAAATATATAATAGTAGGAATGCATTTTAATACTACAGCTAATGTAATAAATATATAGTAATATGTCTTATAATTTATTACATTAATGGAAGTCCAATATTTATTGAGAAGTTGTTTCTATAGTTTTTATAGTAAACCTGATATTTAAAGAGACTTTTCCAATGTTTGTTTCTCATAAAAGTTATTATTTCAATTATTCAATATGATTTTTGGTGTAATTCAAAAGGATTACTTAATTTTTAATTAAGTAATTTTTTAGTTTTAATACTTAGATTCATAATTTATAACTAATGTAATAAGAATATCATAGATTTTATTGAATAAGAATTTGAACATTTTAAGATTTGAATCTATTTTAATTATTATCTAAAAAAGTATAAAGTATTATACATTTACAACATAAAAATTAAACATTTGAAAAATATACACATTTAATAATTTATACTGTAAACATATACGAAATATACATGTAGTTAAAGAAATTAAGTTTCGGTTGACTGTTCTTTATTATTAGTAAATAGTCTGGCATATAAATCACCAAATTGTGATATGTTTTCTATCATAGTGAGCCGTAAAGAATCTGAGTATGGTTTAGGTACAGAAACAGCCATTGTGTCCCTCCACATGCCACCTATATTATTTCGTAAAAAAAGAGCTGGTGCAGGTATATGATCTCTTGTATACGTCCAAACACAATCACGCAAGACAATCAATATCTAAAATTTAAATTTACATTTCACAAATATAATAAATTAATAACCATAGAAATAATATTTTCCGAATAAATACAGTAGTTAACATAATATATTACTTGTTGCGGTGTGAGTTCTTGAACAATAACGCCCAAAACATCTAAGGGTTTGGGTAAAAGCTGACCTAATGACATAGTGTTTAATAGTTTTACAGTTTCGTCCAATAACTGAGGATTATCTTTAGATTTTCCTTTAGTATGGTTAACTGCTCCCCAATGGTTAATCAAACAAGCACAAACTGCACGCAACAGGACTGAACAATAGCAGAGCGCTGGTCGATGACCAGCCAGTATACCAAGTATTGTCCACAGTATCGGTTTGGTGGTAATTGTATGGTAAATATGTACGTCTCTTTCTATAGTCACCTAACAAATTATGAAGTAAGTATTATTCTCTAATTTAAATACTATAAATTAAAATTATTTTACTTTTGTAAAATCCTCATCAGGCCACGGTAAACCATTATACATTACATCCGGCGAAACAAATTGAACGACTAATAATGCTAGAGAAACCACTGTATCTAATGTCGGTTCAAATGAATAACATTCATCAGATGAATAACAAGAACGTAAAAATGAGACCAGACGTAGTTCATTAAATTGTACACTTTTAGCATCAAAAACAGGTGTTTTATGCTTTGGATGCAATTCGTCTTTATCAAATTTAACACTAATTTCTTCACCAAACATGGAATTAAATTTCTATTCAAATACAAAAAATTTAAATGAACATTTTTTAATTTTCAAGTATTACAATAAAAACCTGTTGAAGGAATATTCCCATCAATGAAGTCTTTTCAAGTGGCTGAATTATATAGTCATTACGTCGATTAGCAGGCATAACAAATAACAATGAAAATGGTTCCTTCAATACACCATCTAAAATATATTTCATAGCAGCTGTTCTGGCAATTGATGACCGATAACTAACAGTATTGACAAATTTATTCATTCGGAGACATGCTTTCAGTTTAAACATTTCATCTGTAACAAATAGTTAATGTACGCACGTGTAGGAAAAAACTGACATACAACAATAAACAAACCTTGTTCTTTAAATAGACAAGTGAAGAAATATAATACAGCCGCTTTTACACAATACAAAACTTTAGGTACAGACATTTCTTTCATGCATAATTTTGCAGCAACTTTTGATAGTATTGATGATAGTAAATGTGCAGAATACATGTCTCCACTATGACAACAATCAATCATTGATCGGCATATTTTATCCAAATGAGATACTACAGCCATTGAAACACCATGAAGTGAAATGCCTTCAGGTGGATCAGATTCCAAACTACAATGAAAATGTGTATAATACAATATAAATTAATAAATAAATAAAATTAATAAATATAATATAATTAAATTTAACTATAATAATTTACCTCAGTAAAGTATTAATGTTGTTCCAGACATTAGCTAAAGAAATATCAGGTTTAACCAGAGCATAAACTAAACCGCCATCAAAGTTAGCCATGTTAACGCCGAATGAAAGAATTTCAACTAGTGTCTCAAGTTGTGTTCCATTTTCACATTCAACTAACATTGTAGCTATATACGGCAACAAACATTCTTCGTCTCTAATTGCTAAAATAAAAGCCAGAGTTAAAATTTAAATTTAATTCATAAAATTGAACGTTAAGTACCAACCAATACAACTTAAAAGCCTTGCAGCTGGTTGAGCCACATTGACATTTGTTGATAATAAATATGGCTTGATAGTGTGCAGGTTTGTGACTAGTGCTTTAACTATGGGAGGTGTTGTATGATTTGTTCTGAGTGAATATTCAAGTTCAGCAAGGAATAATTCTATGCAAAGAATATTAATTAAAAATTATGTTCTTTATAAATATTAAAATTATTTAAGTTAATCTTATTTACCAAATAATGACTGGGCACCAGTTTTCAAAATTTTAAACTTTGGATCTTCACAGTCAATTAATTGGAATATTAAACTGAATACATGTTTGATTCCTCGATCTGCATTCAACAAAACTTGAACCATAATATCTAACAAATTACATTGGTCATCAAAAAAGTCCTTCCACTGTGGATATAAAGGTAATAATTTATTTAATACTTCTGGTGTAACTGAAACATACAAGTAAATGTTACAATTAATAATTTATATTATATCTAACAATAATTATTTAATGTTACAATAAATAATATGTATAAATTATATAATACGCAATATCATTCACGCTGGATCATATTCTATTATATACATATTTACTTTGAATTAAATTTTCACACAACATTGACTTGAGAAGTGTTGAGGAGCACATGGCCATGTGCAATAAAAAAGGGACTATCGTCACATTTTCAGCAGTCATTTTTTGATGCTCTTCGCTGAGACTTAACTATTTACAATGATTATAGTATGAATTATTTTAGTATAAATAAAATAATAACAATTAAATTGTTTTAACAAACCTTGAATAATTGTAAAACAACCTCTTTTATGTTTGCAAAATATGTTATCGACAGGTGATCGAGAATTCGGATGAAAGAGTTTAACTTTTCAGTCTGAATAAATAAATATTAATTTATTAATATCTTACATAATATGATAGTTATAAAACTCACGTGTTTGAATTTATTAGTAGCACACATTTCTTTTATGCCACACAATAGCATATCCATAATGACTAACGATGGAAAGCTGTCACCAATTTGAGCTAGTACCCACTCAAAACTAGAACTCTTATATCCTAACATAGTTTCTAAAATCATAATATTTATCATGTTATTATTTTTCTTATTGATTCATAGGTTTTATTTATTTGTACATATAATTACAACATAGTTTGTTACAAAATGGGAGGATTGAGGGAGAGGAAAAAAAAATTAAAGTATACCCACTAACCTATCATAGAATCAACAGAACGCTCTCCTTCTGATTTTACCATTTTAGCAATAGTTTTATTGTTTATATCTACTAGAATATAAGCAACTGAACACTGAGACCAAAATCTAAGCATATCTCCCAACGGCATTCTAGCAAATTCATGCATGTTATAGTGTTTAGATACTTTCCCTATGCAATAATAATAATGAATTGACATTTAAAAATACAATTTAATTGTTTATATCAATTACTAAATCAATTATAATATAGTATATATTTTTACCTAATAACTTATAAGACCAATGTAGAACAACAGGAGCCCAAACTAGATGATCTTCTTCAACTAGCCTCAAAAGAACATCACGTATATTGGTTACGTTTTCTATCACTTCTGGTGGAATAATTGGTGGTTCATGTCGCGATGAAGTATTTGAAGATTCCACCCACGACGGCTATAAAATATAATTATATTAGTTTGCAGAGTATGCATCTATAACCTATGTTATTATTTCTTCCATCATAAACATAATACCTGAACTTTAAGCTGTTTCAAATATGTAGAAATTGCATAATCAAAAAATTTTCCATAATATTCAAGAACAGCGTCTTGTGCTGCAGGCAATACTTTAAGTAATTCCATTGCACGAGTAATTTGATCCGTTTGAACATTGATGAAAGGTTGTTTTGTTTCATTTAAAAATGCTGTCAATTTAGCAAACTGGTCTTCTTGATGTTTTTTCATCTCCATGGCTTAATACTTGAATTTTAGTTTACTTGGATTACTAATCCCGTGTATCAAAATGTATTTAAGTCACAAAAATGTGAAAATTCTCAGTATTGAATACAAATATATAAATTTGGAATGAATTTTTAAGTCAGTGAACAGAATCACGAAATCCGTAATTACCAGAAGATAAATATAAATAAGTTTTATGTACTAATAGGTATATATTCAAATTGAACACATTTTAAATTCAAGAGCTTAAGGGGTATACAAAAATCTATCCATACAAAATAAAATTATTATTTTATTATTTAGCCATTTGAATATTTGTTAATATCACAATGTGTGAGAAATGAGCAATACAAATTTAAGCAATAATTGATAAAGGGTTTTCGGTATAACCATGATCCAATATAGTTTGCTCCGCTAGAGGGCGAAACATGAATCACATATTATTTTTTCCAAATACCAATATAATATATTATTATTATGACATACAGTAATGCACGTTGTGTAACCTAAACTATGTATTAGACAGGGGCTACCACGAAATGCAAACAAATTATTTAGATACATACCAAATTAATAATTTATTATTAATACTTTAAACTAAAAAGCCCACCAATTCCAGTAAACAAACCCCAACTTCCTTTAATTATAAAATGTGAATTTATTGGAACAATAGCTACACCTAGAATACCCTAAATTCAAAAAAAAAAATGTTAAATACGATAGAGATTACAAATAACTATATGATAGTTTTAGTAAACGTATAATAAGCCGCACACTCTGTATCTTCGTTGTCGACAAGTCATAAACAATGCTCGACGTAGTAAGGCCACTACTACGTTCCACTATTTAAATTGTCTTCACCAGTTGAAAATCGTACAAAAATATTTTTTTTTAAAGTTTTCGTAAAGACACCAAGTAAAGGCACATTATGTACATAATTTAAACTGAGAATTAAATTAATTATGAAAACCTAAATTAGGTATATATGTATAGTATAGCATCAAAAATGTTATGGTCAATTTTATCAAACGCCTTAGAGAAATCAGTATAATTAACATCTACACCTGATAAATTATAATCATATTAAATGCATTTAAAACATAGTTTTGTAATAGTAAGTACTAACTATAGTGAGTAGTAAAAATATTAAGTATAGTAGTATTATAGTAGACCTACTAGTAGAAGAACTGTTTACTAGATATACTCAGTTGAACATTAGAATAATACACCAATAAATATGACCAACCCATTTGAAGAATAGACGATAGAAAAAGAACAAGAATTAATGAAATTATTAACTGAAGAAAAAGTTGGTGTGACCTAATAACAGAGGGACCTTGATATGAGTAGTAAAAAAGTATGGAACCATTGGAACCTTATTAAGTATTTAAACAGTATATAACTCTGAATAAAAGCCCAATCTACCATAAATAACATCAAATTAAATTGCACACTTCTTAATGAATAGCAAAAATAAGATTGCGCAACTAAGACCTTGGTAAACAAAGAATTATACAGTCAGGTTTATAGAAATATAGTTGTTAAATCTTTTCAATAGTATAAAACCTAAGTAGCTCTTATACTTAAAAAAGGCTCGGAAGATCTGTAGGAAGGTAAAATTAATAGTTATGCTGAAACCAGAAAAATAAACTGAAGATACACTATCTAGTTACTGGCCAATCTCTATATTGTCACACATACAAATTGTTTGAACAAATTTCTTAAATAGGGTAAATCCTACCATAAACAATAAACTCATAAAAGAAAAACAAGCAGGAAATAGTAAGAGTAAAATTACTAGTAAAAGTAGGAAATAGGACACCAGGAAAATCATGCACGGGACAGGTACTAAAGCTTAAACAATATATAGAAAACAGGTTTGAAGAGAAGGTTACCGAGTTATCTTTTATTGACCTATTTTCAGGGTACAATATACAGTCAATATTATTTAGAGTATATCAACTGATCCGAGATTATACATTTACGTAAATCATTTAATCACTCTTGAGCAACAGAAGGTTCTTTGTAGTTTGTATTTTGAAACACTAGCCGAGAAAAAAAGCAAATGAAACATAAGGAATAGGTTACCATAACAATGTGGTTCTGGCTCCCCTGACAAGAGAAAAAAAAAAGGATTAATTACCAAGCAACAATTATTGTGATAGGGATTAAGCAAAGTTCGTGAAATACTAAGTAATTCAGCTAGTTAATAATAAAATAATAATCATAGCACATTTGAACTACTAATTCAACAAAGTATTAATATTTTTACTACTTATAATTATGTGTCTTGTAAAATGTTTTTTTTTTTCGACCTCTTTTCCCATTAAAAAATCCTGGATACATCATTTACTGCAAAAACTATAAAAACAATTTTGGAGATTTGTCACTTCATAGACTATTTTAATAGTTATAATTTTACTCTTACATACCACACTTTATATTGTAAAAGGACTAGTCCCATTAAATTATTATAATAAATAAGAATTTGAAGACTGTATATTGTATACACATACACATACATAATACATAGAACAAACAATTGTGGGTGTAGGGAATGGTTCGCTACATCAACTATTTTGAGTCGGTGACCCTTGTCCCAAAATGATTCCATAATAGTTGAGAAAAATAAATATAAATGGAATACACACTAAAAATCATTCAATAAAATTGCTGGATTATGATAAATGGTTTTCCTTGTATATTGAAATATGTTTTTTTTTTTTTTTAGTAAACAAACATTTGAATGGTCTAAAATTGAACTTCACGCATACTTAAACTTCTGTAGCCTTGGAGTTCTATTTTAGACTGTTTTCACTATACTATATTTATTATAATGAGAAATATTTTTCATTTAAAATAATATATATATTCATATTCATATTACTCATAAATTTGATACTTTTTTGCAGCTAGGCAGAGAAATAGACCTAATTCTATTGGAAAAAAAAAATAATAATAATAAAAAAATCCATTCAAAATTAAACTAATCCCGATATAAAATGTCACCATTGGGTAGTTACTTTTTTTTTATGTGTCTCAAGCCATAATTTATTTTCGCATACAAAACATTGTTTGTTTTCAAATACAGTTAAAAAATTTTTTTTTATTTTACATTACATTATTATTTGTCATTATTGTATTCAATTTTGTATACCAGAATTAAATAATTTCTTCTATCCTTCATAAGAAACTGACCAAAACTGAGGTAAATATTTAGGTTTCATTGTATCTAGGAAATGTTGTCGCCATATTGCTTTTAATTCATTTATAGCATCTAATTCCAAAAAATGTTTTACTACCTTTTCAGCAGCATTATTCTGTTGTTTATCATTTGCTGTGTACCTTTAAAAATATATTATAATTTGTATAAGTATTAAATTTTAACATGAAAATAAATTTAACTACTTTAGGTTTTTAATGGTGAGTAAAATTTCAAGATAAGAGTCAAACACTCTGTCTGGCCTTATATTATATATCTCTGCAATTTCCAGTTTTAACTTATTATATACTTCATCTGGTAACTTATTTTGGGATTTTAACAGAGTTTTAGCTAGACTTTTTGACCTCATAATTTTAGTGTATACTGGAATCTAAAAACAAATTAATATATAATTAAACTATTGATTTTAGAATATACTGATAAGTCTGTACAGAAAAATGAGGACAGGAAGGAATTAGTTTTCTGCTTGCAATGGTAGCCAGGGCACCTTACCAAAGTGTAGATGGCTGTGACAATTTACATTAAAACTGACCCAAAATATATACTACGTGTATAATTTGCACCAAAATTCAAATTGCTTATTAATTTGATAGCGGAATTTAAGATATTTAGTTATGATAAACTAATAATATAATATTCCAGTTTTAGATACTTGATTATTAATGTCAATATTAATAAAGTTATTGATAAAGTAATCAAATATAATATAGATATTCATTTTGGTATAAATTACAAACACTATTTTCGACTACTTACAATGGCGCAAATTAGAAATACTATTTTCAGTTACCTGCAGTGGCACAAATTACGAATCATTATTTTAGTCCAAATTACAAATTTCCACATAGCAAGTTGCTGATATTAACACCCACCCATTTACACTATGAGAAGGTACACTGAAGTCACCAGAAAATATTGTTTTCAAGTTGTTCTATAGCTTAGATCATCTGTATATTCTAAAATCAATAGTTAAATATTTATGTTTACTATGTAAAATGGTGTTGACAAAATCCAAAAAAAAAAATACCCTCAAAATCTAGAAGAGGATAAAATAAATTACAAAACAAACATATTTTAGAGGACAATTTTTCCTTCACTCTTTAAGATGCTTATGACTGGCAGGACTAATAATGAATTTAAAAGATACATGTTTTAAATTCATTAAATGAGTATTTAAAAAGTTGTTGTTTTCAAATTTGTAAACTACTATACAATATTATAAATCCAAAATTCGGATTACTGAACTTCAAAAACTTTTCCAACCACTAGTATAAAAAAAATATATTTATAGGCATACGTAAAAAAAAAATTGTTTCATTGTTTTTGTTGAGTGTGTGCATTCTTAGGTTACCAATCGGGTTTACTGCCAAGTTAGTTATTATTGTTAATAATGGTTCTAGGCTATTAGTAACCCATTTTGCACACATACAGGGGTCCCCATTTTCTTATTATTAACACCTTATCTTTGAACTTTCAGAAACTATTGGCCAGTTCTAAACCTTGGGAAGTGTGAAGAAAAAGTTGCCATGAAAAATAAGTTTACTTTGTAGTTATATTCACTATAATTGTTTTTTTTTTTTTTGGAGGGGGGCGGAATTTTGTTATAGGTTCATGTAAAGCTCATTTTTTATTTAATTAATATCTGTATTACTTTTTGATATTTGTTTGGGTTCAATTCTTTGATTTGACATTTATCAAATAATTGTTTACGTATTGCAAAATCAAATGTATTTGATTTTATATGACACCAATAACATAATAACAATGTGTCATGAGTTATGTGACTCTTGGCTGAGGCTACAATTAAAATATACCTATTAATATAGTCTTTTACAAAAACATAAGTTTAAAACATACTTGGCATGTATCGAACAAATTCTTTAGGAATTATGCTTTTCTTACGAAAATATTCTGTACGACCACAAACTGTACAAATATCTGCTCTGGGAAGAACAGAAAAATTATCATTTCGATTTTTAAAGTCTGCAGGGAAATTAAGTCTTATAGTTCTTGGATTATCATTTACCAATTCAGCTAAACCTTGAGTAATGTACCTGTAAATAATAAGTAATGAATACAAATATTAATTTTGTATGTACATAATAATTTACCATAAAAGTTATACCAATCGACTTTTTTATGACTACAAGTTGACATTACAGTTCCATCAATATTTTCCATCAAACAATTGTCATAGACTTTAGCGGCTTTTATTGTAGATGTTGAATATGAACGAACATTTGGTTTGGATTTAGAATTAATATTGGCATTGGTTCGAACATTCTTAAAAGGTACATTTTTAAATTCTGAATACTTAAATATGAACTTATCCCATTTTTGTTTGTTTGTTGAAAACAGCCAGTCCCGCCACGATATCTATTGAAATGTAAATGTATACAATTTATTGGTTTATTGGTTAACATTATTTAATATAAATTACTGTTTTGTTTCTAAGTTTCTCTAAAATTTTGAACCCTATATAAGCATCTAATGCAGCATATTCAATTTGTCGATTACTCAATAAGTCTGCTTCCCAGTCACTAGCTCGAACACGCCAATCTTTATCTAATTCACAACCTAGTAGTTTATATGCTAGAGCCGCTAAGCTTCTTTCTTGTAAATGAAATTCTCTTGCTAAAAATCTCAAATCAATGTATCCTGATATTTCTAAATTATAATCATTCATAAGCAGGTGAGCATCATCTGATATAGCAACACCAACTTTAATTACATTAGGATTGCTTAGAATTTTCTACAATAATTATAAATAATATTACAATTCATATTAGAAATATAAATATAATTTAATAATAATATTCTTACAGATAATGATGAAGGAATAGTTTTAAATTTAGACAATCTAATCAAGGAACATATTCCATTGGCATCAGAAATTTGTAACAACGCTACAGGATGACGAATTTCATTTTGTGATACCCACTCACAATCTAATCCAATAATTGGTAAGTAAGTAGACGATCTGAAAATGTGTTCTTTAAATAAATAATCAAGTTAATTTAAAAATTGTACTATTTACTTTTCAAGTTTTACCGCTATTTGTTCACATTGTTCAACTGTCTCGACAATAGTAATTTGTCGAGCACGTAATTTCACTAATGATTTTATTAATGGTATTTTTGTTAACACTTTAATCATCATAAATTTAACAATTAAAAAAAGTGAATATAACATTTGAACGTCTTGCGTCAAATTTAAAATTTTAATTTACACATAAAATATCGCAATTGAAAATTGCAATTTGCCGTTCGCAGGTAGGCATCAAACTACAATATCGCCGTTTATCAAATTAAAATAATGAAGATAATACCTTAAGAGAAGTTAGAGGAAAGATCGCCGTCAAGACCTTCTCTTCATCGTGAAGATAGGCCGTGGGATAGTTATCCACATATTTAATATATATTATTACACATTATCTATGGCCGTCTATACCTTATCAGTGTTTCAAGAAGGACGGGTACAGTTACTCCATAGTGTCGAAATGTCGAAAAATAAATAATCCGAAAAATATTTTGATAAAATAATATTTTATTTGAAAATATCATGAATTGTTTTTTATATCTATGGAAAATATCTATAAAGCACGGCTATAGATACTATAGTTACGTGACGGCCTATACTGTACTGCAGGAAATACCGGCACGAAATGTTCTATCACATTTTATCAAAACCTGACAATTGTAAGAGCTCCCAGTGGAGTTTATTAGTTTATTATTATTCATTATTATTGCTATCAACTATTAACATCCGCCGTAAGCTTTGGCAATGAGCAGATTTTTGTTATTATGTATAAGTACTTTAGAGACCACTTTTTTGAGGATCGTTGCGCAATCATAATATCTAAAGCTATGCTAAAGATATTATAGATAACACTGTTATCTCATAGCATCTATTAACCTCTAAACTATAGATTAAATGAAACCATTTGGCTGAACCATAGAGTAATCTTGTTTTGAGGCACGGCCAAAGTAAATCCTCCTTGGGCTATATACCTATTTTACAATCAGCCGCTGCCATCGCTACTTGCGCTGCCGTATTTACTCCTCAAAATACTTCTGTGACAGCATCGACGGTAGTGAATGTTTACATTGCCCTGCTAATTATAGCAGCGCGAGCAGCAATTGCCGGATTGATCGCATTGCCGATTATGTTGCTGCTCGCGCTGCTCAGTTTACCGCTCTTGACGGGAGCGTCGGACAGCGTTAGTGCGAGGAGCATGATCAGCGCGAGTGACGTGTTTACATGCTCGCGCTGTCCATTTTTATGCTCACTGCCACGGAAGTAGGCTGAATGTAAACTAGGTAATAGACAATCAGAATATAGAGAGTCTCCCTATATAGCATATTAGCTAATTAATTTATTACATTAATAACATTGAGTCAATGTTCTATACTCAATGTTAATATTATATTAAATATTTATCAATGGCTAACACACACTCTAAAATAGTGCGCTCTATTTGTATTTGGTAAAATTAATTTTTTTACAAATTAAATTTCTAATAAATTATTTTTTGACTATAATACTTTTTATCAAATATTTTTCTGCTCAAATAATTTTTGTGAGCATATTTTCTGCTGATTTATTTTCTAACGAAATATTTTGGATTAAAATTGAGATCACCCTAATATTTCCAAACTAAATAATTAGCTTTTGGTGGCTTAAATAAAAAAATCGTAGAATTTCTATTTACACTAATGCATTATTTCACACTACACGTATATTCATTATTATAATCTATATTAAAATCGATTTAATAATAGATGCCAACATATGAAATTATAAAAATACGAATTTTTATATTTTTATATAATATATATATAAATTAGTTAATAATAATATTAGAATATTATATACTATGTGTTATAAATTATAATATAAATATGCATTATTAAATAATAGGTATACTAATTGATGGCTTAATAATATATAAATGTTGTTACAAATATGATGTACATAATTTTGCTAGGCAGTTTTAAGTTCTGAGCGGAGAGAGGAATGTATTGGTTTATTTTTTTATCTGTGAATAACTTCTCTACTAGAAATCTTGTTCCTATATTTATTAGTGTATCACTTTTTCTGGGTGGTTACGTTAAGATATTTTTTTGATTTTCTAAGGGGTTGTTATAATAAACGGGGAAAAGACTTTTATTTAGGTATTCTACAATTATTATCAATTTAGGATGAAAATGATCAATATCAATGTTAAAAAGTGTCCTGAGAGGTTTAAGAGGTTTTCCTATAAATAAATAGTAAAAACGTCCCCATTCTCAAAAAAACCTTAGCTATTTAGAGGTGTCCGTTAAGGAATGTTTCACTATATAATATACTATTTTGTACTTTTATAATTTAATGAAATAATAGGGGTTGGGTGATAATTGTTTTTTCAATAAAGTTTTATTAAAATTAGTTTTTATATTTTTCATTTGACTTTACAATTACGGACATTTAGTTAAGTACATATTTTAAAATTCAAATCTGGTAGATATGTTTAAAAACGTTTGTTATTTTAATAAATATTGCAATTTAGTATTAATTTTACCAATAAAAAATGGCAAATTTGATAATATTAAGTGACAAATTATAATATTTGTATAAAATTATTATTTGGAAAGTTGGTATTATACAGTCGTCAGTGCTGGAGCCTCACAGTGACGACTTGGCGTTAAAGTCTCCAGCTACATGGAGTGTTTCGACAGCTCTTTCACTCTGATGTATGGTGTAGTTTAGACTATCAACCCAGTAAACAAACATACGAATATTAAACGTATAATATACGGATATAAATAACCTAATTATGTATATAATACGTGTATACTGAGTTTATGATAAGTAGAAATCATGGTTATTTTTGGGTCAAAAATTCAATATTCTACGTATATTATGTAATAGACGTAAATTTTAACACTTATTCGTCGTTTAAAATACGTATATATTAGTGATATAAATTTAGGATATAATACGTATACCATATACGTGTATTTTTAGTATACATTTCGTAGATTAACATGTAAAATTCACGTGTATATATGATTATATAGAATTATTTTTCATAGTTTTAAATCCTATTTTTAGATTATGAGTCCTGAGTGTAGCGAATAATGTATCACAGGTTTTACAATGATTGAAAGATGTTTATTTTTTATTTTTTATACTGTGCTCACAAATTCTACTAGAAATCTTGCTTCGAAGTATCAAGTTTAGTATCTATTCCGAAAGAGAATTTAAATGGGCTGGTAATTTAGGGAGGTCATTTTTTGACGTGCAAAGTATGTCAGTCTTTTTTTCATTATATTACAGTATTAAATTTTTTTTTTAATGAATTTTTCGATACGACTGTTATTTGCTTCAATTTCATTTTGGACTTGAGCAATAACATTAATTACGTCAACCTACGATGATCCAGATATTTTAAATTCCGGATTTTGGTAAATTTCCATGATTTGCTTTGTTTAATGTCAAGTCCAATTTCAAATTGGTATCATTCATCAGTTTTTGTGCATTTTCAATTGCAACAACCAACAGCATCATCCTTATCAAACTCAATCAGATTTAACTAATCGATGATTTTCTAAACATGTAGCATGTTCCACTTTTAAATAGAATACTTTAATATTTTTCCCTACCTTGACCACATTATAAGAGGTTACATCGCTCTTATAGGCGTGACTAGACTTCACCCGTAGCGGCAGCCTAGCTAATAATCGGCATCAATTAATGAACCGAAAAAATCCCCTTTAAATATGGGGGAGTTTAGCCCCCCCAATTAAATATTTATATAACTCAAAAGTCTGTATTATCTGTTTACAGTTAATAATGTACAGTATTTTCAGTATCTTTAAATTTAACTACAAAAATATTATTTATGTATAGGCCTGGATTACACCGTTATATAATTAAGTAATTAATAAAATAAATAATGTGTTAGTATATAGAATAATACAAATGATAGACTGATTGAAAATAATATTGTTATAAATAATGCATAATGCAATTTTTTTATTTTAATTAAAGTTGTAAGCCATCACTATTCACTAGACATAAAATTCGGTTGACCGGCGTCTTTTGAAAATTGCAGAAGCAAACCAAGCACCCTAGGCTGCCACCGTAGACACGCCTATGATCGCTCTAAAATAAAAGAACATTATCGTGTTTAATATCATCTGACCATGACAAGCGCTTAGATTTGTCAAATAATTTAGTTATTTTAATATTATATGTTTTTTTTAAAACTTCTATAATTGCGTGTCTTATAAGAATTTTCAAAATCGCTCCATCTACTATCTTGTCCTGGATCCACTTCTGATTGGTACTAATTAAAATTAAATTTGGGTAAAACTTTTATGTTATATAGATAAATGTAATCTCGTATAGATATATTATTATCTTACATAACTATCTTATAATATTAAATTAGGATCCATCAGGCTATTAACTTTTTATATAAAATAACAAGTATACTGCTTCTTTCGTCGATTTAAATGATTCGATAGTGTAAATTGTTTTGCAAATATATTATTATTAAGCGCACGTTTTATTTTACGATTCACTTTGTAAATATTTTAAAAGATCCAAAGATCATCGGAGAAAATAAAAAACGTTTATTCGAAAATCGTGTTATGTAAATTACCTGCAGTGATGTAAAATGTAAAATGCACTTTTGCTGTAGCTGTATAGCGGCTAGCGCGTGTTTTACATGGGAACGTGTGGGACTAGAGGATTAATAAAAAAAAAAAATGTAAAATAAAAAAAACTACTAACTTAGGTTCCTATTGCACAACGAAATACCTATGTGGAAATAAATATTAAGAAACGTTACCTGTTTTTTAAAACATTTAAATAATCTTTATCAGATGCGCGTCACTAAAAAAAACAAGCCGTAGGTATAAAGAGAAAGCAATAAAATATTTATTTTCCAAAACACTTAGTACTGCACTAAAATATAAGTGCACTTAAAAACTAAAAAGATAAATTAATATATCATTATACTTGTATATGTTATTTTAGGTTTTGTGAATATTAGGTAAACACTGTTATGAAAATAAATAAATAATAACCCCCCAACAAGTAACTCTAACCGATCAAAATCATAAACAAATAACCAAGTTAAAAACGCCAAGCGCTAAATATGTGAATATTAGCGAATAAATTTTGCGGTTGAGCGCAACTTGTATTTTACGGGACACAGCAATGAGCGGCACAGAATCTGCTGTAGCTTTCTGCGTGTACCAAGTGCACACTGCAGCGGCTCGGCGACGTGGTGCGTACATTGAGTAGCAGCCCGTAGATAATAATAGTTAATCTTTATTATCTATGGTCGCGCCAGCTGGGGCCCAGGGCTTATCGCGGCGGTCACGTGCATTTCGCTAACAGCACCGGCCCGTGATCGCGCCGAAATTTCGCCACACATCAGAGACACGAGACGCGCAGATTGTGAGATGTTCAGCGACGGCAGCGGTCTAGTTTTTTTTTTTTTTTACACATTCTCTCTCTCTCTCTATCTATCTATCTTTTACACGTGACCACAGCCGCGCGTCATACGAGTCGTACGAGGAGTCCGTTTGTATTATTATTATTATTATTATTATAATAACAATGTATACGCTATAAAAAATATGTGTACACCGTAGACGCGTGTTTGTGTGCGTTTGTGTCGTATTTGTGTGAAATGTTCGGTGTGCGGTCGCGTGCGTGTGTTCACTTTGTACGCACGTCGGTGACGACGACGCAACGGGGGCAATGTATAATATGCTATAATACCAATGAAATACGGGAGAGATTGCACAATAATAATATAATTCGTATATATATGTATATATCGTACGTGGTTTCACGTCAACATCCCCACCGCGCCGCGATTGGCCGCTATAGTCGCCGCCGCCGGCATTCCGAGCATTCCTCGACATACATACGTACGAAACTACTAGCGATCGGCGGCGGCCTACGAGGCTACGACCACGCGAGATCCGGTTCTCCTCTATAACATAGACTATAGAGGGTCGCCCAGCGTGTCGTTCTTGTACATTTTTCATTATACGTCTATAATAATAATAATAATAATAATAATAATATAATAACATTATACACGTATGTCAAATTTATACATACCTATATACTATACGCATACGTGATATTATACCCAGCGGCTTACATACGTAGGCACCAATAACCGAAGCGGTCGTACAGGTCGTTCTTCCTTGACGCGGTGCACTACAACTGCTATACACCGGGGGCCCTGCGTGGACCGTGGCCATCAGCCGAACCACCGTACAACCTACCTAAAACTAAAATACGATATATTTTTATGACAACGATATTATTGTACAATGTACGTGCCGTGAAAAACATCGTATAATTAATTAAAATAAAAGCGTCGAGCAAAAAAACAAAATATTCTTGTGTACACGATTCTGCGCGTCTTCGTTTACACGTAGTCAATATTATATTTTATGTTTTACAGATAAAACAAATCGTTTGCCGTGGTGTTTAGACGTTTAGGCGATTTTTTTTTTCTTTCCGTTTTCTTTAATAATTCAATATAGACGGTTCTCCGTCTTTACTTTTCAATAATCCCGTTCGGCCGACGACAGCGACACGGTCGTAGACTACAGTCGCCGCCGTGCCGACACCGCAGCAGCAGTAGCTATACGCGTATTGCTGCAGCCGTAAAATATTTTTCATTGTGAACGATTTTTTTTAGAGTTTTATGTGATATTATTGTAAGAAAAACGAAAAAAGGTCGGGAATAAAAATAAAAATTTAAATTTATTTACGATTGCTCTCTTATATTTGTGTTAATTAACCGTGCAGTTATTTTTTGACTACGAGTTTTAATTATCTCCTCTCGTAGTGGGGGGGACATCGGAATGTTGTAGCAATATGGCGGCGGCCATGATAATGGCACACTCGACAACGTAGACTCTTTGTTTTCGTTTCTGATATTATTTTTTGATTGTTTTTCACCGTCCCGAGAAGTTTACATCTGTCGTCCTTTGCTTGTTCAAGCGTGTGCTAGTTTCTCCCAGAAAATTCACGGATTTGCGTTAGTTCTAAATGTGTGAAAAGTGTCTCGATTTCTACGTGCAACTAATAGCGAAGGTTGGTGGTTGTGTGCACGGTACACTGTCGCCAGGACAAGACGACGGGAAAACAATGATACGCTACCGGTTCTGAGGTTAGTTTAAAATTTATTTTAAGTATTCTTTTTTTTTTTTTTGGTTAACTTTAGTTTCGCATACGGATACTATGTTAGTGCACTAAAAAGCACTAAAAATTTCTGTAATTTGTCGGTCATCGAATCGATGTGTCCATTTCACACTGGTACTTAAGTTCAATGTTTGATTTTACCATACCGGTAATATTAATAAACTATCTGCATACGTTTTAATATAAGTACTGTCTTTATGACTAATCAAAGTTCATCGTCAGGGAGACCTAGTGATTAGGTTAGAGGAGAAATAGGGCAAACAATTGGTGTCTGGTGGATTGTGATATATTTACTTATATGTCTGTACAGATCTTTAATATTAATGGACAATATTCAAATATTAGTTTGTTATTTATATAACATTAAATACTAGTAAGTAAAAAATCCAAATTTATAATTTTTACCTTAAGAAAGAAATTACATTAATATTAGATAATGTTCTTAGTTATATAGGTGTTACTATTAATGTGGTTTAGTATATACAACACTTAATTCGTTGTCAATCTTTCCTATTTAAGATTATCAGTTATTTAATTAATAATATTTTGTCTATTTCCTACACTTGATATTATTCAATCATATTATGTTACCTAATAATATAATTAATATTATAAGAGCATTTTCGAGTATTTTGTTATAGTCTAGTTTTATGTTTTGTTATATAGTTGTATATTATGTGGTTGCATGTTAATATGACTGCTATTAAAACAATTATGTCATTAAAATATTTGTTAATTTGGTAGATAGTTAAGTTAAAATAAGTAAAGTAAAATATCTTAATATAGTATCTATACAAATTGTATAGCAATGGCAATTATTATAAAATCTAAAACTCAATCACGGATTATTGGTCAAAAGAGGCGCACTGAAAATTGAATGAAATATTTGACATTTTTTGATACTTTGACTTTTTTTATACTCCAAGAGCTAGTTTTATGAGGTTTATCAAAAAACTTATTACCTAATACATTTGCCAAGCATTAAATTAAATAGATACCTAACTATACAATTTACAAATAATACATTTAATTTAATTCAATTTAATACATTTTCATATCTTATAATAAATTATTCTTATGTTTAACTGGAAGTAGAGCAAATTAAACATTAGACTGTTTTTTGTCATTTTTAATTGTGCAAAAATATACAATTAATATTCAATAGCAATTATAGGAGAAAATAGTCTGGGTCATGGTTTCATGACATAAGTGGTTCAGACTTAAGTTTTGCCTATTACATATGGGTATAGTTGATAATATCACCTATAACCTATATTATATTATTTTAATGTTGTTTTATAATATACCTTTAAATATAAATAAGTTCCTTGTACAATTTTTATTTATGTTTCAGTTCTCTATTTTCAACTACAGATCAGGGTATTTTTCATTTTATTAAGTAACTATAGTTACTTGAGTATCGACAATGTGATTTTTACATTAAGTCAATCTATGTCCCAAAGCATATCGTGTAACATAAATACGATGTGTGCGAGTGCGTAGTCTGTGAGTCCTCGGCCCCCAGTTAGCCATGGGCCGCCCGAGGAAGCCGACGCCAGTATGAACTCTGCGGCGCCTGCGTCGGGCAAACCATCTACCCGATCATCGTCGTCGGGCTACCGCCAGAAGGCATTAGCTGAAATCCGCAACTCATTATTGCCCTTCGCAAATATTGGTGGCTGCGACAGCAGCGCGGCCAGCTGCGTGTCGAGCATCTCAAGTGCTTCAGGATCGGCCACATCAGGTATTGGATCTGTGTCTGGTCTCAGTTCGCTTTCAAACAATTGTGTTGATAAAGAACTTAACGCTTTACGACAGACACTCACTCAATTAATCGCGATGGGGTATACTGAGGTAAGAATAATTTATATTATTAATTTAATTTTTAACGCGTTATTTTATCTATTTTGTTATTAAAACTTAGTTGAAATATGTTAAAATTGTATTTATTGAAGATAGCTACTAAAATAAGATACTTTTATCTTAAAAATATTTTTTATTAAGTAATTATATAGCTATACACATAAATGTGTTTGAATACTTAAATTATAGATGTATATTAAATATATCATTGCATATCTATATATAAATACTTAAGTGTTATCATAAATATGAACTTATTTTTATTTGGGGGAAGCCGTGGCACGATCGTAAATGTTGACTAGTTCGGCACGACCGATCACGGTTTGAATTTTAGTAATATCTCAAGCAAATGTTGTAAAGGTTTAGCTGTTTATATTCGAAGTGATATTCCTTTAGGTAAATCTCATCTCCTATAAGATTTAAACATGTATCTAAATAAATAGCTTTGATTAAATTCTGAATATAATTTATTTTAATAATATTTATACATTTAAAAAGTTGACTTCTTTTTATTACCTACTGGTTATTATTTAGTGTTCATTCAGTTTATTGTAAAATTATATTTACATATATATGGTACCCATTGTGATATGTTAAGAAGTATCTAACTAAGTAACTTTTTTGAAATGTATATTATTTTATTTTACCCTTATTTTTCGTGGGTGAAGTGATTACCTACTTTTGATTTTAAAATGGTAATTTATATTAAAAATTCAATATGTGGATGAAGTAATTAATTTAAATACATTTTGAGGAGAGTAGTGGATATTATATACGTCACACACCATGTCATCATACAAATAATGCTTCAAAACTCTACCTCTACCAAAATGTATTAAAGTAGAATATTTTTATTTTTACAAATTGACAAATCAACATTTTTCAACACCATAATGTATTTAACCTAACATTATTCATTAAATTATATTAAATAATATTCATTTAATTTTTAATATAGTTTGCCTTTTGAAAATCAAAAGTAGGTGACCCCCAAAAATAATATGACAAATAATTGACAATAAATAATAAAAATGTAATATTTAAATGTTGCATTTTTCTTAAATTGTCAAAAAAAGTTATTATTTTCCGAAATATTGCAATGGGTATATTTTCATGGAACACTCAATATATATATATACTTTGTTTAAAATTAAAATGCATCAGGTTTTGCTAATCGCATCTGACAGTTGTAGAAACTCTTAGCCTGATTTTTCCTCAACTATGCAGTCACTAACGGACTGGTTACTATAGCAAATGCGCAGAAAATAACAAAAACTGGTCGGCAGCCGGTGTATTCTAGTTTGAGACAGAGTATATGTATATATATTTATAATAAATTTGAAAATAAATCTATACAGTAAATGTTTTGATAATATAACTAGAGTCTTTATTGCAAACATCCTAAACTTTTAAATGGCATAAAGTAGGTAGTTATAATATAATATTCAAGATATTACAACATAGGTAGTACAAGAAATATTTTATAAATTTTTATATTATTAATAGAATGAGGATTTTAAAACAGTAGCTATTTATTTATTTATGATTTAAACATTTTTTTTTTGTACATTTTCTGAACCTAAGCCAGTTAAACATTTTTGCATATAATATTTAGAAACCTTTTCATTTAGATTTATTCTATTAATTTTGTTGGACACTAACAATTTAGTTATAATATGAATGTATGAATATGGAATAAACTGTTTTAAATGATTGCATATATTCCCATGGTATTATATTATCGAGCAAACACATTTAAAATGTTTCCTTAATTTATTTTAAAGTAAACAACATAATATGTGTAGAATACTTTTTAGATGTCATTTTTATGTTTTATTTATAAATAGTTACAATTATTATTAAAATATACCTTAGTTTTTTTTTACGAACATATATTATATATGTGTTATTTGTATAATCATACATATTATGTTTTGACAAAGTGTCCTACAAAAATGTCCTTATTAAAAATAGTGAAACAATGGATTAGCTAAATTTTGTAGGACAGTATTCTTAGGTCCTTTGTTGGCTCTTAAGAAAATATTATTGTAATAATAGACTATCTGTTATATACATAGAAAGACAACATAGCAATTCACAATTGTAATTAATCAACCAGAGTATAAAACATTTTAAATGTTATACCTAGTTTACATTCAGCCAACTTCCGTGGCAGTGAGCAGGGAAGTGAGCATAAAAATGGGCAGCGCGAGTATGTAAACACGTCACTCGCGCTGATCATGCTCCTCGCACTAACGCTGCCCGACGTTCCCGTCAAGAGCGGTAAACTGAGCAGCGCGAGCAACAGCATAACTGGTAATGCGGATCAATCCGGCAATTGCTGCTCGTGCTGCTATAATTAGTAGGGCAATGTAAACACTCACTACCGTCGACGCTGTCACAGAAGTATTTTGAGGAGTAAATATGGCAGTGCAAGTAGCAATGGCAGCGGCTGATTGTAAATTAGGTATTAGAAACAAAACAAAAATTATTAAAAAAGTGTTAAGATTTTTTATGTAGTAAAACTATATCAGTTAAAAATAAAATTGTTCTTTATAATTTGTATTTTACATACATAAATTCATAAAAGATATAAAAACAAATTTCTTCTAAACTGAAATTACTTACAATACATGTAAATATATATAAATGTTAAACTATAAATAACTTAACCATAGGTACATTAAATGCAATAGAAATAAATATGTTGTGTGATAGTGATAGGTTATCCTTATATTAGTTTAAAATTATGTACTATATATGGTTTTAGAATAAAGTATATTATATTGGCAAAATTTTGACAATTTTTATATTTTTATTATACATTTTTGGGTGATTCCTGAATTATAAAAAACTAATAATATTTTTGAAGATTTAAATGGATAAATTATGATAGGTAAAGAGGGTTTGTGTATTTAATTATTATTGTTGTACAAATTTGTAATAATGTTTATCTATATGTCATTCTATTTCTGTCTTAGGTTAGATATCATTCAAATTAATAATTTAATGTTATCTAATATATATATATAAATGAAGTAGGTAGTAGAAATGAGAATGTTTTGTTGGATATGTGATTTGACTAGGTTAGATAGTGCCAAAGAAAACAATTAGCTACAGATTATTAGAGGAGATCTGAGAGTGATAGGGGTTAAGTAAATGAAGAAATGAAGATGAACTGAACTGTTATGGGAAACAAAGACAGAAAAATTGTGTAGTTGAGTATTAGATTCACTAGATTAACATTTCATAGAGTATACCAACAATTCATTTAAGAAACATTTCTAAAAATGTACAATTAAAATTATAGGTTGCTTTTCGATTTTCAATGTTAATACTTATCAGTTTGCCACATATTATGCTATTATGTTAAAATAAGTTAATTTTGAAAAAAATCACAGAAAGGTAAGGGTTATCAGAAGTATTTCTGATATACAACTATAATGAAAATACTATATATAATAAGTATTTACTATTTGTTTATAACACGTTATCATAAGATATTAAACAAATTTAGTGGGTGTTAGTGTTTATTATTAAAAATGTTGTTTATATAAATTTATTAGTTCAAATTGTTTTAGAAAAAAGGTTTTGGTGTATTTGTTCTGTGATGTGAGTAGATTTATGACAAAAAATTGTAAAATAACTGACCCAGGGTCAATAAAAGTTAAAATTGTTTCTGTTTGTACAGTATTTAATAATTTATTGGAATAACTTAACTATTGAGGGATAATTATAATACTAAATTATTTTTTTTCGAATACTTAAACACTTGTAGTTTATTGTGTTTTATCTCGCTTCCTATAAATAAACAAATAAATAATCCGATAATTCTAAAAATATAATTTGAAATATCAATAGACCTACTTAAAACAATTATTATTTATTATGCGCGTATTATTAATTGTCCGATTTTTAAAAATAAAAAATAATTGTTTGTCATGCTTATTTTATTAATGATATACCTAGGTATTTTTTTTTAAATTTTTTTTAGGTCAGATAAAGTAGATCATTTATAAATTCATTTCTATAAGTACTGTACTGTTGATTTTGTTGCATACAAATTGTTAATAATTCTATAAATCTATGATGGTTAAAAAAATATTAATTTATATGTACATGTACAAATTAAAATATGGTAATTATTTTTTTAGTTGGGTAGCCCTACTTGTTAAATCAATATGATTTTATTATCAAATAATATTTATTTTCAAAATATTTAATTAAACACCTAGTAGATATAATGAAATAGGTAGGTTTATTTATTCAATTTTTCGTATTTATAAATATTTACTATAATAATTATTAATATTGTCTATTATTTTACATTATGCTATTAAACTGTATTAATATCACCATTAAAAAAAGTACCTACTTAATGAAAAAATATGAATTTAAAATCTAATTGTTAGAAGAATGTGTCTTTGAAATAACTTTGTAAAGAATATATTGTTTCCTGTGCATTTTATAGAATAATTTTTGTATAAATTAAACTAATTCAAATTCTTATTTTAATTATAACATTAAATATCTATTGGGTTTTATACTTTATTTTAGTAATCACAGATGCATAAATGCATGCAAGAATGCAAAATCCCATGAAAAGTTGGCCTTATCCTATGCCTATGGGTCTTTAAACAAAATAAAAACGCATTTTAAATTACATTCATAGGTACTGAATATCTTCCCAATTATATCATGTCAGTGGTGTGTATATAATTATTATCTCACCTATATAATTGATTTTAATAACTTTAACGTTGTTAATGTAATTAGTCTGAATGTTCTGAATTTACTATTCTGTTTGCCATTTACTTACAAGTTTAACTATGATAATATTGTACACTATTCTACCAGGTAATCCATTTAAGTGGGTACACTCATTATCTCAGAAAGTATTAACTTTTTTGGAATTTATTTTCTGGTACATTTAAAAAACAAGCAACTCTACAATTTGATTTTTTATTATTTTCTTGTTACCTACTTTTGATTTTTAAATGGCATTCTATATAAAAAATTTCATAAATGGATGGAGTAATAGTTAGAATAAATTTTAGTGTTGAAATTTTTGATGTATGTCGGTCTGTTGACAAGATATTCCACTTTTAAGTATGGGTTGGAGGAGAGTATTGGAGTATCATTTGTGTGACGGTGCGGTGTGTGGCTTGTTAATAATGCACCACTACTCTACTCCAACCCAAATTTAAAAGTGGAGTATCTCGTCAACGGTTTGACAGAAATCAAGAATTCCAACACAAACATTTTTTTTTTAACTAATACTCCATCTATTTATTAAATTTTTAATATAGGGTGTCATTTGAAAATCAAAAATAGGTAGTGTCTTTACCCCCAAAAATAAGGATGGCAAAAAATAATATTGTAGAGCTGCTTGTTTCTTAAATGTTTTAAAAAACAAACAACAAAAAAAGTTAATACTTTTTGAGATAATGAGTGTACCCACTTAAATGAATCACCTGGTATATATAATTAATATCCTGCATTTTGTATATTTTGTATAATATAATATTATACAAAATATACAATAATATGAATTCATTTTATAATGCACAATTATTATATAAATTATATGACATTTTGCCATTAATGCATCAATTATATACATAATTCTTTATATACACACTAAGAAATTTATTTATTAAATAGTTATTATAAAACAATTACAGTTCTCTGTTAGCTATTTACTTGTTTATATACTCAAATATTATTATAAAGTATCAAAAAATTTATCTGAATTTAATAGGTATAAGTATACCAACATAGTATCAAATCGAACAAAATTATTTATTTTGTAAATTGAATTTGTCTGATATTTTGTTTTATTAAGGTGTTTTAAAGCAATGTTCAATCAAATAATGTTACAATATTGGATTTTTTTAGTATGAACTTCAAAATTGTTTTATCAATTTTGAATGGTTTTATTAAAGGTGCCTATTTTTAAAGAAGTATTAAGAAATAAATTATAAAAATCTATAGTAGTTATTATAATCTTTAATTTGACACAAACAAATAAACTATGCACTTTATGAAACTGTAAATGGATGAATGATTAAAATAAACAGGTTTTTGTAAAAAAAGTGGAAACCATTTTGCTTATAGTTCTGGTTTTTTATGTGTTGAAGAACCATGGTAAGATAATTAAGATTTATGCTCCCATGAGTTTGTACTTCATGGAAGTTATACTGTAATAGTATGTTATACTTGTAGATATGGGGATTGATTAAGTGAGAAGGATGGTAAAAACCGGTATATGTAATTGTTGAGTATTATCGACATGTTTTTTTGAGATTAATTGCATGCAATTATTAAGATATATTTATCCATATATGCAAACTTGACTATTTGGGTATGCTTGTGTCTATTCTATGTTTGGCTATTAGTTACTGGAGAGGAAATTAAATTTTGCTTATAAGTTGTTACGTGACATGTTATGTTAAAATAATATGAATGAAAATGTTATTGATTAAAATTAAAATTATTTTCTAGATCAAGTAGAGTAGACTATAGAGAAACTAACCTAATATTATTATGCTACTTTCACTATAAACTTAATTATGTTTATTAAAATTCATATTTAATCCGATAATCACAATTCTGGATGGATCACAAGATGGATCAAAATTATTATTTTCTTCTAATTTTTAATGATAGGTACCAAGGGTACCTATATTAATTGGAAATCATTTTAATTTCATTGTATTAGACATTTACCTCCTAAATTTTGAAGTAGAAACAAGTATGTTTCATTTATTGCATTTATTTATTTTTTTATTCATGAAATATCCTCTCGTTTATTACAAGATTATTAATATTAATACTATTACTAATGAATTTTGTTAATTTCCTGCTGAAATATAAATTAAATTGTTATTGGGTACCTACTATCTTATGTGATTATTAACCCTGCCATTAATTAACTAATATATATATATTACAAGTTGGAACTTTTTCTTTTTAATAAATAGCATATACTAGATATTATATTATTTAATTTTGAACTCGCCCAAAGAAATGTCTTCTTGTTTCAAGTACCAGATATTATTTGATAAAAACACATTATCCTTCATCTCAAAATATATAAAGGTTATTAGTTATTCTAAATTACAACTCTACTGTCCACATATAGCTACATGTTTTTTTTTTTTTTTGTTTGTTTGATAAATTTATGTATTAATTATATATGATTAAACTATTTAAAAGAAGACACTACAAATAGTTTTTTATTTTATTAGTTTCTTTTCTTTCAGTAGATTCATTAGAGAATATGACGAGAATTTTACATTAATACCTATAATATTTATACAAAGTAAATTACAGTTTTAATATTTTAAATTTTCTAAATAGTAATGTTATTTAGGAAAGATGCTGAAGGGAACTGTCTCGAAAAATATTACTTATAATAATCATCTTAAATATCTATTTGTTATAAATAAATCAATAATTTACTAATCACGAGTTATATTGTATTCTGTCATAAAAACAAAATTGAGTTGGAAAATTAGGAAAGTAGGATTAATAGAGTTAATATATAGAGTTAATAGATTAATAAATTTAATTTATAATTTGTATGTAACAGTAAATTATTGATAACGAAAAACTATCAACATTTTTTTCAACATGTTTTCAATGCTATGATTTTTATATAAATTTAAAAACTTATAAAAAAAAAAAAAAATTGTTACATATTAAGGAATTTTAAATTTGTCTTGAAAATTCATATTTTAAAAAATATGGCTCAAATCATGGCTGTATATATATATATATTATATAACTATGTATAATGTTGTAAATGTATAAATTAAAAAAGAAAATTATCTTACCATATTAATAAGCTACTAGGAGATGTTGAGTAAAATAAAACTTAAATTAAAGTGATAGGATATAACATAAAACAAATTTAGATTTTCTACTAACAAGGGTTTTTATAATATACGAGGGCTAATCAAAAAGTATCGAGACTGATAATATTACTCGGAAACCGAGCGTTGAAGAGCAAAGCGATTTGTAAACCTAGCTTCTATGACTTATACTGAGCACATCTATTCGTATAAAATCTTTATAAACTTATTCGTTTTGATTTAACGATATTTTTCTAAAATTTGTTTTTCACCTTTGGCGATTTCGCAATGAATCCAAAAGAAGCGGAACTCGCTGCCACTCGAGGGCATATTTTCAGTTTTTCAATTGATATTTAATGGCAAAAACCATGAAATGTTGCATCCCTCTGAAACTAGAAAAAAATGCAGACAAATTTTCTAAAATCTCCAAATCTGTCAAGTTACTAAGTCATAGAAGCAAGTGATACCAATCCTACTGCTCTTCGATGCTCCTTTTCTGAATGACACTACCAGTCTTAATACTTTTTGATTAGCCCTCGTACATATAATATATAATGTATCTCATATATAATAACCTAGAAAATCAGAATTTTGAAGTCTTAACATTTGTTAAAACAACCCTGAATATACTCGACGTTTTTTTTCTATTTTTATTAAACTTGTGTTAAATTGTTGAGCACTTTTGCTCTGTTAAATAATTTTATTTTTCTCATAAATCAAAATCAAAAAATAATATGTGAAATGCTGTGATTTTTCCAATTTGTTTAAAAAAAAAAAAAAAAACTGAATTATGCTCAACCCTTTTTTATTTATTATTATTATAATTATAACTTACAAGGAAGCCTCATGTTAAATTGTGAGAATTTTTGCTTAGTCAAAACAATTTTATCAACATATAACCAAATAAAAATCAACTTAAATACAATTTCAAATGGCTATACTCTTATAAATAGCTCAATATTTATAAGAATGTTATGAAATTTTTACCACATCTAGGTTAAATTAAATATTCTGTGAACATTCAAGGTCTCTTCGATAATTATTAAGAAAACTGCAAGGAATATCAAAAAACATCTTCAACACACCTCCTACATACAATTTTCTACCAGACACCATCCTTAAAGTTTGATTGTCAGAGCAATAGATTTCTGGTAGAACGTTGTTAACAGAAGAAAAAACAAATCACAGTAAAACAAATAAATTCATTGCTTTAATCAGAAAATATAAAAAAAAATAGTTACAAAGAAAAGTATTTTCAATTTTTATTAGTCGTGAAGTAAAGTCTAATACCTACGTTAATAATCAAATTTTAAATAATTTGATTGTTCTCATATGTGCACTAAAATATTAGTGGTTGTGGTTATATATTGTGTGTTCGTGTAGAATATTATATATTTATATTTTTTATTATTTAATATTTACAAATGGCAATACCCAGAGGATGAAATTAAGTAACAAAATGTATACTTATACCATTAAAAGTTTTGACTAAATCAAATTAAACTGTTAAAATACTGCAATGTGTTTATATTTAATAAGTTTGCTTTATATAATTAATAAAGGCTGTAACTAGAGGGTTCAGTAATTTAGTCTTTAAAATATTTTCAAAATGAAAAAAATTATAAAAATTTTATCAAATTCAGTAATCAATAAAATTTATTATCCCCCCTCCCTCACTATTATAGTATTAATTTTAAAGTTTTATTTATTTCCTTTTATTTTATTACTTGGAAATATTTATTTTTTAACATGATAAAGTTACTTATTACTAGGTTATAATTTTTATGGTAAATTCCCCACATTATCCACATTCTCAAATTGTAAATACCTAAAGAACCAAAGTAAGAAAAATTAATTTTAGAAATGATTAAATTTTTGTAATTTATACAAATACATGGGATTTAGTTTTAAAAATTGACATTTGATTTTAGTTATTTATAGTTTTTAAGTTAAACCAACCTATAATTAGATATATCAGTTTTTGAAAAATAGATTAACCTTGTGATTTAATTAAATAAATATTTTGATATACTTAACTTAAAATTGTGTTTAAATATTAAGACATATTTTATTATAAGTAGGTAAAAATCTGTTTCAAATTATAATTTGTGTTTACTTAATTTGGAATGACATCCTAAATTTGTTATATTATAGGACACTATTTTAACTTTAAGTCTTAAGATATATATATAACATTACATTATATTTTAAAATTCCTTCATATATTATGATACCTTTAAATTTGCAATGGTTTAAATTTTCCTTAAAGTTTACAGAAAAAAATTAATTTTGTGCTCTACTAAGAATGTTCTTTTGCGATGTGATAATTTTCAAGTATAAGTTTAAAATTTTAACCGTCATATTATGTACAGATAAGTTAAGTAAAAATGATCACGGAAAAATTACTACCTATCTCCTATCAGATGTTAAGTGTAGCAAGAAATTTATTGGTTTTACTATGTGTGCTTCTTTTTTTTCTCTTTTTGTACAACTTTTATACCAAAAATCTTGCTCCACATTTTTTAAGAGTATATTCCTCTTAAATAAAATAGTATCTAATTGGTACCTTATAAGGTAGGTTTTTGGTTTAATTTGATGTAATTTTCTTGTTACGTTGGATAAACCAAACCGAGACTTGTATTGAATACTTATATTACCCATTTTCAGACATGTTAAAATTGTAAAACCTTGGGTAATTTTGAGTTATCTATACTATAAAGACATATTTGATATTTTCAATGGTTTTTTTTTTTTTTTTTTTTTATAAAATTGTTTGAATAAATTGAGAAATGCTTGAAAATTTATTAATGGTGTACTTAAATTACAAAATAGATTTCCTGAGTTAAAGTAAAGCTATCCAAAGGAATAGATTTACTTTATTATAGTTTATTAACAGCTTAAAATGAAATTCTGAAGTATTTGAAATATACTTTTTATTTTAGAAACTTAAGATGTAACTAATATTTTTTAGTTTTGGTATTTTTATACTTATAATTTAATTTATTTACATATATATTTTTAGGAAGCATCATTAAGAGCACTTAAAGTATCTGGCGGACGTTGTGAAGGTGCTCTAGATTTTTTAACTAAACAACCACAATGTGATCTTTCCAATGGATGCAGTAAATCTTCAACAGGTAAATTTGATTCTAACAAAATATATTTTGAATACTACAATTAATATTATAATATGTATAATATTATATTTATAGGCTTATGTAGTAATAACAAATTAATCAGAAAGTCAAGTTTAGAAAGAAGTGGAGTTGGTCCAAGGAGCAGTCCTGGCCAAGATAGTGGTGCAGGAAGCTCAAGGTCAGATAGCCCTAGACAACCTGATCTAGTCATCCACTCTCATCCTCCTTTGTCTCGCCAATATTCCCCATCTGCATATTCAGAAACACCACCACCTCCTCCACCTAGGAATAATAGTACACCTCCACCTCCTCATGTTCCAACTCATATGCAACAATTGCTTAAGCGTATGTCGCCCGCGCCTGCTGTTCCTTCTCGACCACCCGCACCTACACCAGGAACTTCAAATAGTTCCAATCAAAGAGGTACTTCACCAATGGTAGTTCAAAATGGTCCCCAAGCACAGCAACAATTATCTCAACAAATACAGGCATTAAATATGACTACAGCTGAACCCCCTCCACCTTATCCAATAGTTGGAGCTCCACCACCACCACCATCATACTCTGCTTCAATTCAAGAATACCGAAAATCGCCTTCCTCTGGAGTATTTTCAAATGCAGGGTCATCTAGTCCTGTTTCTGGATCAACAAATGGAAGCATATCGTCATTAACTCGACCAACACCTTTACAAGCATGGGGAGCTAGACAAACTAAAACTCAATCACCAATTATAATGCAGTCTGTTCGAAGTACTTTAGTTCAAAAGCCTGTACTTCAAACTGCTGTTGCCCCACAAGCCCCAACACCTACTTCTCCTTCTCCAGTTCCGCCACCTTCTTATGCATCATCTATTCAACAAAAACAACAGGCTCAAAAAGCAGTTCAACAGCCTCAGCAAGCATCATTGTCATCACCACCGTCTGTTGTACCAACAACTGACCCTCCTAGCTATGCAAGTACTATGCAAGCACTGGCTGTCCATAATAGAGTAATTGCCAACCCTTTACCACCTCCCCCACCATATGCCGAAGAACATCCACATCGAAAACCTACTCCCCCATTACCGCCTATACCATCATCATCTATTGCTAAAAATAAAATAATGAATTGTAATAATCATCATCACTTTAATAATAACAATAATAATAATAACGGCATTACTAATGGGCATGATGAAGAAGATGATAATCAATCAAAAATTGATCACCAGTCGCCTATTCCTGAGCGCAAACATATTAGTAAAGAAAAAGAAGAAGAAAGGCGAGAGTGTAAAGTCAAAAACTATTCACCTCAAGCATTCAAATTCTTTATGGAGCAACATGTAGAAAATGTTATCAAGTCACACAAACAAAGAGTATTTCGACGAGTTCAATTAGAAACAGAAATGGCTAAAATAGGTTTGAGTGAAGAAGCTCAGTGCCAAATGAGAAAAATGTTATCACAAAAAGAATCTAATTATATTAGGCTAAAACGAGCTAAAATGGATAAATCCATGTTTACAAAAATTAAACCTATTGGGGTTGGTGCTTTTGGTGAGGTCACTCTAGTGAGAAAAATTGATACAAATCATTTATATGCCATGAAAACTTTGAAAAAAGCTCAAGTGCTTAAGCGTAATCAAGTAGCCCATGTTAAAGCTGAAAGAGACATTTTAGCTGAAGCAGACAATGAATGGGTTGTCAAACTTTATTATTCATTTCAAGATAAAGATAATTTGTATTTTGTTATGGATTATATACCTGGTGGAGATTTGATGTCATTGTTAATCAAGTTGGGAATATTTGAAGAGCATTTGGCTAGGTAAATATTTCTATTTTTAATACAATATTTATCTTTATGGGTCAAACTATTTAAATATTTTACCAAACTAAGTTAAAAATGTTGGTTCAGAACTTGAAAATTTGAGTTAAAGGAATTCTAACAGAAGTATTCGATCTTTGGTTTGATTTATGTATTTTCATTCATAATATTAAAAATAAGTGATTTGTTGTCCGTTTTGAGTTTATGGTTTGGGCTTTCATTACTAAATATTTTGTTAAACTTTGATTACCTTTTGTTATTTTGTTAAAATCACTACTTATTTATAGGTTTTACATTGCTGAATTAACCTGTGCTGTAGAAAGTGTTCATAAAATGGGTTTTATTCATAGAGATATAAAACCAGATAATATACTGATCGATAGAGATGGTCACATCAAACTCACTGACTTTGGATTATGTACTGGGTTCAGATGGACGCATAATTCAAAATATTATCAAGATGGTAAATAATTATTTCCACCTACATGGTTTTTAAAAGTTATATGAAATGTTATGTTCTAATAAATATGTTTTAGGTGAGCACTGTAGACAAGACTCTATGGGAGGTGAAGAGTGGGGTGTAAATGGTGCTGAATGTCGTTGTCATCAATTAAAACCTTTGGAGAGGCGACGTCGACGAGAACATCAAAGGTGTGAAGCCCACTCATTGGTCGGCACACCAAATTATATTGCACCAGAAGTATTGCTTCGAACAGGCTACACACAGCTATGTGATTGGTGGAGTGTAGGGGTTATACTTTATGAAATGTTAGTTGGATCTCCTCCTTTTCTTGCCAATACACCCGCAGAGACTCAATACAAGGTATATAAACTATTTTTTTAAATGAACTTTTGTAATAATTATAATTTATATTTATAGGTTATACATTTTGAAAGTACTTTACAAGTACCACCATCTGCTAATCTATCACCAGAAGGTGCTGACCTTATCCTAAAACTTTGTACTTGCAAAGAGCAACGTTTGGGTAAGAATGCTGATGAAGTGAAAGCTCATTCATTCTTTGAAGGTCTAGATTTTGAGAGAGGAATGAGACGTCATAATCCTCCACATGTACCACGTATACAGTTTTCTACTGACACGTCTAACTTTGATCCAATTGATCCAGAACGTCTTCAAAACTCTGACTCTTCTGATTCTGATAATCGATTTTCTGATTCGGATGGTAATCGACCATTCCACGGATTCTTTGAATTTACCTTTAGGCGTTTTTTTGATGATGGTGGAGGACCATCATTTCCTACAAGGATTAGCCTTGATGAAAACGATGGACAAGGCGCTGTTTATGTTTAATCTTATTAGATCCTGTAAAAATATTAAGTTTGCTATACGTGTGGACAATTATGAATGCTCAATTCAAGCCATTAAATAGTTTAAAAAGCATTCTTAGTATATACTTATACATATTTAAAAAAAAAAACTTAAAATCTACAAAAATTTGTTTGTTAAAAATAAATGTTATAAACATGAGTACAAGAAAAACTAGTAATAAGGTGAACAAAGAATAGAAGTTCTTTAAAAAATAAGATATTAATTGAGACATGTACTAAGTATAGCTCGTTTCCAAATTTTTTTTTTGCATTACATTTTTCTGTGGCAATAAGCTCAGATTTATGTGTTATGTTGCTCTTAGAACGTAAGCCTTATTTAGTTACCAAAATGTCCTTCGTATTCTAATATTTTTATTTTTCAGCTATTCATAGTTTATTTACTCCTTTCCTAATTTTAACACATTTTCCTCTCCCCCTTCGACCCAATCCCAAATGTATTTATTTTTTATAATTCAAACTATTTTTAAGATAATTTCAAAATTTAATGTTTTTCTTCTACTCGTAACTATAAAAAAGAAAATGAACCAATTATTTTGACAGGCTGTGCAAAATGACAGGGTATTATTTTAACCTTTTAATTTAACGAGCTTAAAAAAACGAATTTATTAAATATATTTGTGTATTATATTCAAACAAAATTATCTTCTAAACAGTTACCAAATTTTATTTAATGAAAATACTAATTTACCTATTTATAATTTTAAACATTTTAAGATACCTGCTCTCTTTATTTCTCTCTTATTATTATTATTATTATTTTATTATTATTATTATTATTATTATTATTATTATTATTATAATTATTATTATTATTATTATTATTATTATTATTATTATTATCATTACTACTATTATTATAATTTTGTTTGTTTGTTTTAATGATCTAGTTGAATTTGCTCATTTCAATAATGTTTCGGCGTCATTTTAGTCGACTTGTTTATCCTCTGTGATAAAAGATTATTTAGAGAAAAAAAAAAATCTAAAAACAATTCGACTGAAATGATGCCAGGCTTGTTTATTACAGATCTGCTTAGTGGTTTTTTTTTTTTTTAATTATTTTATTTACCTATTAATGAATTCATATTGTATTATATTACCCATGTGTATTGTACAAGTCGATATAAAGTTGTATACTTTTGTCACAGTGTATATTTTTATTATTATTATTATTTTTTTTTTTTTTAGGAAAGTGATATGTAAACATAAATGTAATGTATATTTTTTTATTACAAAAAGTCAATAACATATTTATATTGCATTTTTAGCCATCCATTTTTATTCTTATTTGCCTTTCTTGCCACTTTTCTTCTTCTTTTTCTTTTGCGCTTGTGGCCATGGAAAGCCTCGGCATTTAAGCAAGTCTTGTACGTTATGGCAGGTATGATATGCATTATCCATGGCACATTCGTTGAATACATCCACCAAGTTTCTAGACTTCTTACCTTCCTTCCGTGTTTTAATTGTAGTTGTTATTGGCTTCTTTGTTTTTTTATCATCTTTTAAATTTATATCTTTTTTCTTTTCACTTCCCTGTTTACTCATTTATTCTGAAAATGTTATGAATTAGTTAGATTAATTTATTTCAAATAATTATTCAAATGTGTATTTAATTTATTACATACTAATAATACAATTAAAAAAATTGTTATGTTACACTATTATGCTGATACTATTTGATTTAAAGTTATTCCACATTTATGATTATTGACCAAACACTGGTTACCATGCTGTATGACTAGTATTGATTGTCCCTAAAATAGTAATTCTATTAGACCTTTTTCACTCAAGGTCAATATTTTTATTTTTACGAATTACTATCAATGTCTCATTGAGTCATTTTGATGATTTTTTTAGTAAATTAAAAAAATATAAAGATTTGCTAATGAATTTTTGTTGAATTAAAATTATTATTATTTATTTTATTTTTATAAGAAATATACAATCTGTATTATATTATAACATAATAAGCATATCTGAACCAATACAAGTTCAGAGTACAAAAGAACATGATTAGTTTTGTTTAAAAAGGTCATCCGTTACTGACACTTACATTAGGACAGTTTATTTTTATATTAGAATTAAAATTTAAAAAAAAAAAAAAATGTTGACTATACCTACCTACAAGATATGAATAGGTTTTTAAATTAAAATTTCTTTACTTTAAGTTGGAAAAATCAACGATTTAAATATTAATACAATATACGCAGGGTATGAAAATGTTTGTCTAGGAAAGTATTAACTTTCTTCAGAATTTGTTTTTCTTTCTATTTTTATATAGATTCTTATTTCTTCCATTCTTTCTATGGTTTTTCTAGATTAGCAACATTTATTTAGAAAACCAAATATGAAATTAACTCACTAACTAGATTAAAAATTCAACAAAAAAGATCTTATTGTTTTTCTATTGGATTAATATTTCTGGTGTTAACAAAGTATACAATTTGAATATAAAGAAATCATAACGTAAATTTATCAGTTTTCATTTTTTCTCTTTCCGGGTTTATTATGAAAACTTGAAAAATCAAAAATGAATTTTCTTCATGAGCATCTTGATTCAAAATGCAACAAAGAAAGTCTCTTGGCATTATTTTTATTAAAGCGATATATCTGATAAAAAAAAAACATACTGTACTGATTCATATTAAATTGTTATCGTATTTATATCTATCACGAATTCTCGAATACCATAGCTCAAATAATGACTAGGTATCTACTTAAATAAATGAAGTAATATTAGTATATTTGGAAAAAAATTCAGCTCACAGGAGTGGACATTTGCCCACCCTGTCCTACCCGCGCCTATGACTGACATCACCAAAAAGTTTGATCAGGCGGTCGCCTTAGTTAGTAATTAAGTTTAAAAGTTTAAATTAAATTTTTAACTCCTTCATGTTCAACCTTTAAGTAATTGAAGTAATTCCAGTTAACTACACTCTGCCTGATAACGTGAATTTTTTTATGTTTCCAATCAAACTATACACTCCAGTCTCCATCTACACATGGACACTATATTCAGAACTGCATATACCTTCCAAAAACGTTTTCTATTCCGCTTAACCAACCATTCGAACCGCTTCACCAGAGATCGGCTTGGGCAATATCCCCAAATATCTATCCATAATTAACATTAAGCCTAAAAAATGTCGCCGCTGAGTGGTTTATCTGTCAACTCATGTCAACATCCACAAGTGGCACGCTGTAGTATTGTAAGCTGGATAAGCGGTAAAAAAAAAAATCTTATAAAAATAAATTATTTATTATTATTAAAATACGGACATACTTCGCACGACGGTTTTTATTTTGTTTTGTTTTGACTCAGTTAAAAATATTTGTAGAGATTTGAAGTTTGGACAAAAACTTATAGGTACCTTTTCTAGACTGGGTAACATGTTCAAAACATTGTAGCTATTTTAATTTTATGGAATTTTTGTATAAAATTTTTTTTCGGTATGTACTTTGTAGATAAAATTATTAGATCAAACAAATGCTAGAAAATGTAACAGTTGATTCATTAGTACGTAGGCACTTTATGGTAAAAAGAAAAAATTCAATTTAATGTAATATTTTTTGGTCTTTTTTTATGAAAATTTGAATATCAAATTTTGATGAAATTCGTAAATATTACAAAACAATACTATTAACTGAACTCAGAATCATTTTCGTTAACTATAGTTAATCGTTGCGTGCAGATATACATTAAATTTTCCCTCTAACTTCTCACCTACAGTGGCCTATACCCATCGTGTGAAATATGTCTAAATCTTTGTTTTTTTTTTTTTTTTTTGTAGATTCTGAGCGCAGCAATAAATGTTTTAATTTTACCATAATTTGTGATTTTAAATTCTGATCGATACAAGGAATATATTGATTTAACTATGATGTATGCTTTTTTTCTGTGGACAACTTTTCTATCAGAAATCTTACTCCGATGTTTAGAGTGAAGCTTTTTTTCTGGTTAGTACATTAAGGTGATCACTTTTTATTTTCTAAAGGGTTTTCATAATATTGGGAAAATTTGAAAAAAAAATATTATCCGAAAAACGTCAAATATTTACGATGCGCCTCGGCGTTGTCGATTTAATAGGTTTTTTATTTTTGCAAACTATGTTTTATACTAGAAATTTAGCTCCAATCGTAAAATGAAAAGAGATCGATTTTGTTAATACTATATATATTTACATATATATACACCAATACATATTTTGTTAATATAATAATAATTTTTTAAAATACCTAGTCATTAAAAATCAGCCAAAAAAATCATTTTTTGATATCGAAAGTAGTTTTCATAATAATTATGCAAAAACAAAAAAGGCAATTCGATTGTTTCGCGCCGCACCGCATTACCACTTTTAAGTTTGGGTTGGTGAAGAGTAGTTTATTTATGTAAAAAATCGTTTGCACATTTTACGAAATTGGAGACAATTTGGACAAACGTCTCCTATAACCCCCTTTAAATGATTAATAAAAATATTATTTTACGTAGGTAGTTAATTGAGATTCAAATAAAATATTATGAAACAACACATAGTAAAATCAATAGGTAACATTCATTACCACACGCTCAAATATGTTGGTTAGTATAAGTACTGATTTCATCAGTATACGCATTGGTTTTAGAATATTAAAAAATCAATGATAATAGTTTGCTCAGAATAATTTTTCAATTCTGAAATGGTTAGTATACATAGTCATTATCGGTACCATCTAAATGATTTTATTATGCTTTCGCTACTGCGAGAAATGCATTCCCTATGCACCAACTATAATGTAGAAAAAATACGACGACATAACAGTCAACAATTGATATCTATATACGTACGTATATATTATACATGGATAACGAAATCTAGCGTACAAAACGAACAAGACCAAGACGACGAAACGGCACAATGGTCGTCGTACTACCATAATATACAGTAATAATTATTAGATTTTAGATAGGTATGCAGTGTGTGTGTGTGTATGTATCTCACGTTAAACGATATTCAAACTTGCGTGACCAATACAATATGATTATATTATTACTATCGGATTTTCGTCTTGTTCTCGTACGTAAACAATGTTATATTATTATTATTACGGGTATTATTGGTAATAATATATATATATATATATACTCGGACTCGTTTATTTTGCGGTTTTGTTCCGCCCGACCGATTTATTTTACTTGTCGTCGCCTCTATAGTAAAAATTGTATTAGTATATTGCGATCTATAACCGTATCGTTAAAGTTATGTTATCGCATTGTCGTATTCTAAATTATCATTATTATAATTTATTTGGTATGCTCTTAATTAAAAATTTGTATTTCTAATTATTATGAAAACCGCTTGGAAAATCAAAAAAATTTCCTCTCTAAATTACCTACCAACGAGGTAATATTTCCTTTCAGAAAAAATGCTACACTTAAAAATACCTATATGATCTTAATTTCTTAATTTTCTTTCCACTAATTATTTTAATATATTTATATTGTATAATGAGTTTGTTCTGTCTAAAATAAAAAAATACGCTCCGAATTTAAAACCTATTTTATTTATATATATTGACATATATTACCTGGTAACAAAATTAGTTAAATAAATTTATTTTTCTTCCTTTTTAAGCAGGCATGTGGTGCTTACATCGCTTCCTCTGACCGCGTGCCATTAACATCCACTCATATATAGGTATCTACTATTAATCTATTGTAGAAAAGTTCAATTTTTCAGATTATGCATTATCTTAATAAAAATTGTTTAATATAAATCCTGATATTTTCATAAAATACAAATAATAACTTTTTCTGACCGTAATAAAATGTTCAAAACATTCTGCTTTGGTGATTTTTAGTTATTATTTTTAGACATTTGACATATCAACTAAGTATCTAATTGACTTGCATTTTCTTTTTTACATATATTGAGCTAGGTATATATTTATTATTATTTAGATATTTAATATGTTATTGTATCATATTCAGTAATTAACTTTCTTAATCGAATCCCTTAACGGCTGATGTCTGACACTCTGTACAATTATGCCACTGTAAGCTCTAAGTAGAGTAACTAAAAAAAAAAAAAACTACAGTGTAATATTTTAAAAACGAATAAAAAAATTAATAATTTCTTTAAATGCAGTCAGCATAATGATGGTAAGTACAAAATTATTTTATGAATAAGTTATGTTGACCAGTAAGATGTTAAATTAGAAATGACTTAATGTTGTTGTATAACCTATTTAATAACAACCTTATTGTCATAGTGTCGTAGCCCATGATACTCTTTATGAGATCTCACAGGATTTAAACTCTCTGCTACTAGTTTTTCAAAAACATTCATAAAACACCTGCTTCAGCTGAGTGATCATTTTCAAAACTTAAACTTATCAAAAATTATTTACGTAACTCTATTGAGTAAAAAAGACTTTCAAGTATAGTGTACCTCAATATAGAAAGACAACATGCTAATGATTATTAACAGAGAAAATATAATTGACAATTTGCCCACAAAAAAGCAAGAAAAATTAATTTTTTGAAGTGAGTACAGTACATTAAAGCTTTATTACTGTTTTATTTTTTTCCAAGTGTCTAATTGACTGTTAATGCATGGCGTGTTCATTTTTATTTTCTATTTGATAATTATTTATATTTAAAATTAATAAAAAAAAACTAAATATTATTGCATTTATTTATTTGTAAATAGGTGTTTTATTGTTTTTTTTTAATTTTTTTTTGTGTTTTATTTATGTTAACCTTATTTTGTATGAGTAAAAACTCAAAATTCGTAAGTATGTTTTAAAGCTTAATTGGTTAATTCTTACATTTTTAGGAGGGGGGCATTCATTTTATTTACATACGGGCCCAAATTAGTGTAGTTGTGGCACTGGTCATATTATTTTGTTATGTAAATTTAATTTTATAAAAACCGCGTTTAAGCATGTTGCCAACCATTAAAAAAATCGAGGGATAGGAGTTAATCAGGTGGTCTATGGTTACTGGTTACACTGAAGTCACTGGCCTTGTGATAAAAATAATTTGACGAAATCAATTTTCTCTTTTGTTCCCTCTAATAAACGTCGTTCTTACTTTCTGAGTTACTATTTAGTAGTTACTGCTTATTTGTCCACTATTGAAGTTAAGTTTTATGATTATTTACTATAATAATTATTAATGGATCAAATCAAAAATAATGTGGACTTCGTTTAAACCAGAATGTTTAAGATATCTTATACGTTCATCACAGTACGCGACATGTCGTCGAACAAAATCCTATGTGATAATCGATTGTGATAAATAATATCAAAGTTAGTTTATTAAATTAATTACAAATTACATTATTTTATGGTTATTTATTACTATAATTATGTTTATCAAATTTGTGTAAAAGTTATTAAAGCGTTTAAAAAATTAATTTAAATTTAATTACTATGAAGTATTATTCACTTTATTTTAGTTTCTTTACCTATAATTTAACTTTGCATACACTAGTTTGTACCACAAGTGTGTATTGAAAGTTTTGCCGTTTAGCGGTGTGACCATGAACGTTCTTGGCTCTAGAACAGCAGCAACAGTCAATCGTGTACCGGATATGGGACAACCAACCAAGCCATTGACTAATGGCACACCAGTACCAAAATCTATGTTCGAACATGTCAAAATTGAACATATGGTTGCTGGGTTTTCTGGTGGCGTTGCTTCAACACTCATACTTCATCCCCTAGATTTATTGAAAATTCGATTTGCTGGTAATTATTGTAGTGTTTTACATTAATTCTAGATTGATTTTAATTTTTAATATTTTTCCTAGTCAACGATGGCAGAAATGCTATACCAAGTTATGCTGGGCTGGGAAATGCAGTCACTACAATATTTCGGCAAGAAGGAATCAAAGGACTTTATAAAGGAGTTACACCAAATGTTTGGGGGTCAGGAAGCGCATGGGGTTTTTATTTCCTATTGTAAGGACTCTTAGTTGTATTAATAGGTACATAAAATAAAGTATATTTAAAAATATTGTTTTATATTTTCAGTTATAATTCAATTAAAGCTTGGATTCAAGGTGGTAACACTAAAAAACCTTTAGGTCCAGCATTACATATGACTGCTGCAGCAGAAGCCGGCATTCTCACATTAATCATGACTAATCCTGTATGGGTAGTCAAGACTCGTCTGTGTTTGCAGTTCGATAAACCTAGTGACCCAAGCAAGTCGTACAGTGGCATGTGGGATGCGTTCCGCAAGATCTATGGTGCTGAAGGTGTACGAGGCCTGTATAAGGTATTCTTACGATACCTGACAGTTCGATGATACATAAATTAAATGAAAACTATTCATTGCGTGGGCTAGATTTTTATGATTTTTTTTTTTATAAATTCAATATATCTGAATTGTGATACACAAAATATTTAAGTTTAGAAAAATACAAAAACCAAAAATAAGTAGGCATGGTAGATATAATAATATTTTAATACAATATTTCTCAGAGTAATAATAATAAAAAATTGAAATTATTTTGGGCATTTACTTTAATAATTTTATAAATTTGAAACAGAATTGTATACCGAGATTAGTTACTATTTGAATTTGTGAATGTATTTTCTAATCAAAATCTAAAAGTAAATTAAATTTATTACTTAATTCACACGTTTGGATAGATGTCGGTTTTATTATTTGTGTATTCTCTAAAGTAGTAAACGACAGATGAGTATACTAGATGCCCTTTCTCAAAAAAGTAGTTGGTCATGTACATTATTGTAGGGATTTGTTCCGGGTATGTTTGGCGTATCTCATGGTGCCCTGCAGTTCATGACTTACGAGGAGATGAAGACTTTTTATAATGAATACAGAAAACTACCAATCGATGCTAAACTGGTAATAAAAATTTGTATAATCATTTATATTTTATATTAATTACATTGAATTTTACAGGAAACATCTGAATACATTGTATTTGCAGCTTTCTCAAAATTAATTGCTGCTGGTTTGACATATCCATATCAAGTAATTCGTGCTAGACTGCAAGATCAACATCGTGAATACAGAGGCACTTGGCATTGTGTAACACAAACATGGAGGTACGAAGGTGCTGGTGGATTCTATAAAGGATTATCGCCATATTTATTACACGTGCTTCCAAATATTTGTCTTGTGCTGTTGATATATGAGAAATTTACAAATAACTAATTTTTTTGTTACTTCAATATCAGTTTGAACATTAAAAAAAAAAAACAATCAATCCTGTGTTAGAATTTGATTTCAAGTATTTTTACTTTCTTTATAATTAGTATTTATATTTAGTTTTTCTGTTTATTTTCTTTATGTTAAAATTAAAATCATTTATTCCCCATATTATATAGATATATATGTATATGTATATTATTTATACATATATATGTATATAATGCATTATTTGTGTAATGAGTATAGTTATATATCTTTTTAATTACAAAAGTTAATGACGACTGAATAAGTTATATGTTTACAGTACTATATTAATTTGGTTATTTTTTATTTGATTTTATTGCTTTTGAAAGATATTTGCCCCTTTCCTCCAGCATAAAATATTTTTCTTGTAGACAATATTATACTATGACAATACTTCTCTTAGTTGTATGTGTATTAGTATAAATAATGTAATATATGTTATATTTCTTTGTTTTTCAATATTTTTGTTTTTTAAAGATTAATCCCCTTCATTTAAAATTATTTGACTAAAAAAATGTTTATCTTTTTAAAGTTATGAAATTGTACGCGATAAAATGTCATTTAAATTACATATCGTATGACAAATTATTATTAGTATAATTTCTGAAAATTAGTTATTCAAATTTTTCCTGTCATCGCGATACACTGATAATTGCAGTTAAAATAAACTAAGATTTTAATATTTTAACATTCCTATTGATATGGTTTACTTTAAAGAAATATTTTGTTAAAATATATTCTTGTATATCATGTTCATTGTTACAATAAATATAAAATGTAAATATAAATCGCGTGATTAATAAGTTTGTAGTTCGTTTTAACATGTCATTTAACAGTGTGTTGCGGTGCTGCCAGTAGCATAACAAAAACATTGGTAAGCTATTTTTAGTTATGAATAAACTGTATTGATTTCATTAATTTTTGTTTATTTTAGGTATGAACATATGAGAGGATTTTATAAAGGCATGGGACCCAATCTGTTGAAAGTGATTCCAGCTACTGTTATTACATTTTTGATCTATGAAAACGTATCATCATATTTAATTAATTTAAAGAGTGTGCTTTAGACTCCAATTTTCAAAATTATTAATTAGTTTTTCTATGGGATTTATGATATGCATCCATATTATAAGTAATGCCAAACAGAAAAAATAGAAGTGTTCAGTACCAAGTACTTAATAATGTTAATGTTTACTATTATTATTTATTGTCTGTCAGTAAATGTAATTCCGAGTAATACTGCAGTTTCTTACCAGAATGACAATTATTTATTTTACCTTTATTCTAATAAAAATCCTTGATTATTAAATATAATGTAGAATGCAGATGAAAATTAACAAATATATTTGGGCTACATATATTTATGAAGATCTGAAATCTGAACTAATTTTTTTTGTTTGATATTTTAGGTTTTTATTTTTGTAATAATTTATTATTAGTCTTGAACTATAAGTACTCTAGTTTCATTTTATATATTTTTTTTAGAAAATTCAAGATAGCCATTTTATAAATATATATTTTGATTTTAGTTACAAATATTTACTATTGATGACTAGTTTATTTTCTACATATTTTTGAAATTTACTATGATTTAAATTATTTTCATTGCTGCTACTAATTAATATCCATTGATTTACCAATTTTTCAATAAAAAAACAATTTTTTTAATGATTTTTGTAAACTTCATTGTTAATAAATATTTATGAAATGGTTATCTTGGATTTTGTAAAAACGGCTTTTTTAAACATTTAACTTTTTTATTTTTAGTTTAAAAAAAAATAAATATTAAAAAATAGTGCAAGGTTCTAGAAATTATTACAAGAAAAAAAAAACTTAAAAATAATTTTTGGTATCTAGTCTTCATGTTGCATTTTGTATAAATGTGTGTTTATTTTTGAATTTAATATTGTAAATAGTGTGATAAGCGTCATCTACTGTAACACAAAACATTAAGATTTATTATAAAAGTAATTTTTAGGTAAATACTAAATGTATCAAATTAGATTTGAATGGATTTAATTTTTGAAAATTGGTGGTTATAAATAAATACTAGTAAAAACTAGAACATTTAATTTAATATGCAAGACAGCTATTGATAGTAGGTATATGGTAGTGTTGGTTATTATAGTAACCTATTTATTTACTATCATTAACTTAGTATCATAATAAATTATTGGCTATAAATACTTTTTATAGGTCCCTTTTGGTTGGGGTATCATAGAGTAATATTTTAGTAATTACTCTTTGGCTGGTATGTACTAGTGCCCTGCACGGGCCTGATTTTTAAATCCCAAGCCTGTCCAATATTTTGTTTACATAGATTTAGCCCGGCCCATCTTAATGAAAAATATTACAATGGATTACAAATATTTATTTACATTTATTTCTGATAATCTTAAAAATAATAATGCATCAATAGTTTCTGCTTTTAAGCAAGATCTTCTTTTTTCGATCACTCAAAATTTGATAAGTGCACTTCCTATTTAACCCATGTAATTCTAGTATTGGAAATACTAAAGTTATTAATAGATTTGTGAAATTCATATAAAATTTGATAAGTGCACTTCTTATTCGGCCCGCGTCCATAGTTAAAATATGATCTTGTAAGCCCGGCCAGGCCCAAGTCCGGTTCCGGGCCGGTTCTTGCTGGGCTCTAGTATGTACCACATACGTAAAAATGAATAAATCAAATTGTTTTTTTTATATACACCACCATAGAAATTAATTTGTAGATATTGTTGGATAGTACCACAGCAATAGATTAGATTTATAGCCGTGGATAGTACCTGACTATAGTAGTGTTCTTATTTATTTAATTTTGATAGTAACATCAATAGTCTTATCAATTTTAGGTGGTACACACGTCCGTCGAATCTGTTTCGTTCAGTCGTAATTTTTCATCAGTTATTTGAATGTTAATACCACGTCAACTCGAAGAGTAAAAACTTTAATTACCTATCTAGTAATCTCCACATTTACATGGTTGGTTAAACCAGTGTACTGAAAATCGAAACTCACAAACCTGAAATAAAGTATGTCTGGGTACTACCTACATTATATTGGCCATCGGGTATGTATCATAAATCGTAATAGTACCTATATTGCAAAATTATTAAATTATCTACCTATGACCTACCTAAGTTATTCGACTGTCAATAAATAATTCTACATTATTAATTATTAATTATTATATTTTTACACATAATATAACGATAATTAGGTTTATGTAATATGTTGATAGGTAGCTATTTAATTGGTATCTACGTTTTCATATTATAATGATTGTACTGATTGTAATGAGTTGACGATTGACTGTCTTTAAAAAATAATTGCACATAAGAAAATCGAGTTTATTATAAATTGTAATAAACCATGATTGGAATTTGAAAAATAGTTTTGATGTTTATATTTTTAAAAAATGATAACAGTGATTTTTAACTGTTACACATATTCTTTTAACCTTATTCCTATTGAAATATAGGTAAGTAATTTCATTAAAATAATGTAATATTTTATTTTTCTATGAATACAGATTAAAACACCATGTATATAAGTTTTATTTTGCTTATGTAGTCAAGCTTGCCGTAAAATATTTTTCTCCCTAAAGTGAAAATGTTATTGCTGGTCTTTTTGGATGATAATTAATTTCATTTTCTCACTTAAATTTTTTCAAAATTGTAAGCCGCCCTAATGTATCGCATTACTTGCTTGTACCTCGGCAACAGGAATGTGTAATTTTTAGGTAAAATTGTTTGAGTGTTAGTGGTCTGACAATACCATACCTATGTCGATTGCCTTAAAATATTGATTTAATCAATTTTAAGATTCACGAACATACCCAAAAGTTTAAAATATTAACACAAATAAATATAAACATTAAATGCATATCGAATACCTACAACATAAGCTACACATTATATTATTGGTTATTTTTCTCCTTCGCTTGCCTTCATTCCAACTGTTTGAGGTTGGCTCGTTCTAAACTTCCATCATACCCGATCAACCATATCGCATAGACCAGCCATACTCATATCGCTCACTATTACTTCCAACCACCTCTTTCAGTCTTACTCTCCACTGTTTTGTAATAATTACTCTTGTTACTCCACTTATTTATCTAAGCATTCTCATCTCTGCTACTTATATTTTCTATTCTATTCTTCTGTCTACAACCTCTATTCTGTTCCATACAAAAAAATCGGTTTTACTATACTTTTGTGGAACTTAATTTTAAGTCTCATTGGAATTCACTTGGCACATAAGACACCAGACGCTTCTCTATGCTTTATCCAACCTTATTTAATCCTATGTTTCACATCCTCATTGAAAATACCGTTCTTTTTTACACGAAATTCTAGGTAGGTTACTAGGTTTATACTTGAAACTCTCAACTTTGCTTATTATGTCACTGCTTATGGTCATTATCTGTCGTGTCTTATACTCCATAGATACTCATATTCTATTTTACTTCTATTTATCCTTAGTCCCTTTCCTTAAAGTGCTACTTTCCATTCCTCAAGTCTATTGTTAACTTATTCGAGATTTTTTCCTATCAGCCACAAACATGCACTATGGTACCTCCACTTATTGTTGCCTCCGTGCACACCCTAAATAAGTGCTCACCAAATTTCCTGGAAACCTATCATGGAGGCAAGATTTTTATAATGTTTTATCACCTACAATCCTATATAAAACATTATGCTAAAAGAGTTAGAAATTAGCTGCAACCCCTCATATATTATTCTAAACAAATGCGCCTGCTCAGTACAAATAAAATAAAACACGAGTCTGATTACATTTAATCTAATAAGTATTAAAGAATTTATTTAGATAAAACTGATTCAAGTTTTTAAAATGTCTCAGTGACAATATTAGCGATGTGAAAATAAATCACTAGTTTTTACAGATTTTTATTTCATTTTAGATTCTAAGTGGAGCAAGGAATGTATTGGTTTTCCAATGTTTATTTAATTTTTTTTTTCTGTGGACAACTTTTACCAGCAATTTTGATCCGAATTTCAATAATTCCTAACGCTTTCTGAAAGGAAATCTGACTAATAAGGTAGTTAAGAAGGTCATTTTTCAATTTTCTCAAGAGTTTTCTAGCAAATGTAAAAAAACCGAGAAAAACAGAACTATATCAAACAAATATTATTAAAGACAATATATAATGCCTATTTTAGTATTTTACCATAATATGACATAAATATTGTTGATAAAGGATCACTATCAACTGAACTCCGCTCAGAATCGTTTTTTTCATAAGCAATGGTTTATCATTGGTTACAGATATATATTTATAATTCCTACCTACAACAGTGGCTGCACCACCCATCCCCATTATTTCAGGATAGATTTTTTTTTTTTTTAGATGTTTACCACAAAACTTTATCTAATCAAAAAATGTCAGGAGACGTGTTTTGTTGGATTCTGGATTTAGTTGGTGCATTGAGACGATCAATTTTCCCAATTTTTATAATAATTGTGAAAAACCGAAAAAAAGACGTCAAATGAAAATTCACAAATTTACGTCATTAACGGTTTCATTATTTTAAACTATTTCTATTTTAGTTTTATCACAGAAATTTTATGTCGAAATTCAATTGTAGCAATTTTTTTTGAAATAAATTGTTGTCAAGTTGGTGTTAATCTTTGTTATTGTTTTATTATTTTAACTCGCACTTTGTTCATTTTATTATTTAATAAACGTGTTTTTTTATAAAATGTGAGTGTACATCTTTACATACTACTTTTTAATTAACTTTTATCTTACTAACCTAACTAAATTATCTTATTACTATTATCGTTATACATGCTCGTTTTTTTTTTTTATTATACTACTTATAAATTAATTATTTCCATACCAAATAGGAATTTGTATCTTACTCTGAAATTTCAGCCTTATGCCTTTTTTTTGCTTCTCTAATTTATCTTTCTTTCTCAACACCTCTTTCTTTTTTTTATTCCTCTCTTTTTATAATCTTAGACATTTTTTACGACTTTTTATAAATACATCGTTCCCTCTTACCACTCTATTGTTTTTAAGTACATTGACTAAATATGATATTAAAGGTAATGTCTTTATAATCACACCTTCAGTCCATACCTTACTTTTTACATTTTGTATCCATACTATATTTCCTGCCTTATACTGTATTTCTTTAACACTTGTTCTATTATAGTGTTTAATTAATTTTTCTTTATTTTCTAATATTGTTTTATACGCTACTTCACTAATTATTTTAGGTTTTAAGTTTAGAACTTTTAAAGGAATTTTAGATCTAAGAACTCTGCTCATCAATATTTGTGATAGTGAGTACTGTAATCCTGCAACTGGACTATTATTGTAATTTAACTTAAATAGTTCGAATTCTTTACTCTCATCGTGACACTTTTTAAACATATTCTTTATTAATCCTACTGCCTTTTCTACTTGTCCATTATTTTTTGAATAATTGGGTAATGCTGAATTTATGGTAAAATTCCATTCCTTAGCAAATTATTTGCACTTTTGTGAGTTAAAGGGCATATTGTCCTCTAAATTTAATTACCCTCTACGAGTATATCCTACCTTTTCAACTTCTCATCTACAACAGAGGCCCAACCGTCGCACGAAGTATGTCCGTATTTTTAACTGTATATAAAATAAAAATAAGTATTAATGTTTTTATTTTTGGACAGTGATGTTGAGATTTATCAGAAAAAAAACTTATAACATAACTTCTAACTTTTTAACTAGGTACTGGTCATCATTGGTAATTGTATTGTTATTTTTAGCTTTGTATTTGTGTCGACGCGTTCATTATATGTATCGTAATGCATTTTTGTTTAGTAGTAAACTCTTAACTCGTTATTCACATGATTTTCCCAACCACTCGCAAAACTGATACGTTATTGGCTTACTTTAATGCTGCTGGGATTTAGCCAGAGGTTTAGCAAAATTGATTCAAATGTAAAAGTGATTGTGCCATTGGTATATGCGTCCGGTGTCTATAAGCGTATATTTCTATTATGTAAATCAATTTTATCTTTTTGATCTACTTGTTTGTTTTCGATGATCATGTTCATTATTCTGGAATACACATTTTTTCAAGGCCTTAGTTTGGTTGTATCATGAAAAATTATTTATTAAAATTACAATATAAATTCGATTTCTATATTATTTTGTATACCTACATACTTCATAATGATGGATATTTCACCAACCACTCACAAAATAAAATCTAGTCTAGTTCTTATAAATCACACGGCTTTGAATTATTATTGAAGTTTTTTATAACGAGTTTAAAATGTTACATTTGTATTTTTACCATTTAATCATTTATATTATATATAACCATTTTTTTTTATTATAATTATATATACTAACGAAAAAACGATTCTGAACATAGTTCTGTTAATACTGATATTTCGTTAACAATATATGTCATATTATGATAAAATAATGAAATAGTAATTTTATATTTTTTGTTTATTATTGTACCGATTTTCCCATGTTTTTTCACGGTTTTTCACATTTGATGAGAAAGAAAATATATAATGCCTTTTTAATTATTTTATCATAATATGACATGTATATTGTTGACAAAGCATTACTATCAACTGAACTGCGCTCAGAATCGTTTTTTTCGTTAGTAGTAGTCGCACCCGTCTCCATTATCCTAAACCATACATGGTTGAACATATATATGTCTATAAAAATGTTCTTACATAATTTGTTGAAATTCCGTTACATACCTATCGTGAAAATTAAAAAATTTAAAAAAATAATTAAAGAAAAATATTTTATAAACCATATTGTATTTAATTTGTGAGTGCTGGGAAACCCTTTTCTGCGATATTCAATTTAAAACATGTAGATCCTACACGTTTTAAAATGAAATAGCTTATAAAATATATAGGTTTAAATATAATTTAACTAGAGTATATCTAAAATTTAAATTTGTATGTCTATTTCTCACCATCATAAAAATACAAACACAAAAAATGGTATCCAAATTAATTTTTACAGTAGATGGATTTACTCAATCTTCATGTTTTTATGACTAAAATCGCATTTCGTCATAATTTTTGTTTAAGACAATAATTTGGAGATGGGACTAAAAAATAAGATACCTATTATATGCATTATTTTGCACGATGACAGATAAATAAAACATATTTTATTTAAATTTAAACACGACTGTTTTCTAATAAAGTTGAGATTGACTGATAAAATGTAATGTATATATATTTTTTCGGGGAATTTATTATATAAAAAAAATTATGTTTTATGTATATAAATTTATTTACGAATTACGAGGTACATATTTTTTTTTCAATCGTTTAAATAATATT